CTAACAAAGAAATAAGACTGTCAGTGTTGAATGACTGCTGGAAAGCTTAGCAATAATAATAAACTTATTGCAGACAGCATTTCTGGATACACTATGGGGTTCTGGATATGTGACCCTGCAACAAATTTACTCCCAATTTAAACTACATTACTGTATAGTGCTTGTTAGTGACATGCTTCCAGATGGATATACCAAGGTTTAAACAAAACACCGTTTCTGTGTTCCGACGCCTTTCGACCGATTTCTCAGATTTCTTCTTGAATAGCACGTAAATTAACTGTACTGATTTCAAAATGAAATTCGGTTTTTATTGCGTCACTTACTTCCTGCCTATCAATAACATCTGCATAATAAACGTGGTATTTCTTATGGACTGTCATCATTTATAGGACCCATTGAGATTATGAGAGCCCTGGACAGTTACTTCGTCCTAGTAAGACACTCTTCGGTAGGCACATACATGACCCCACTTACCAAGGATCGAATAGAAGACCATAGAGTTACGCCACGAGCATGTTACTATAAGTCCCTTGGTTAGAATCTAATGATCCCCAGTCCTCTGTTTCCCTCAGTCGCTGGTGTAAACCACCTTTAGACCAGTAATTTTTAACAGACCCCAAAAATAAATCCGCTCAATAACTGCCACTGCAATAACCATTTTTTTCAGTCTATCTGCAGTTGACTAGAGGGTATGCTTCAAAATCTAGTCTTCCCTCCTTCTCAAGTATTATCTTGAAGTGAGTGTATAGTATGTGGAAGCATGAAAGCCTTGAACGGTCATTCAGTATTCACCGGTAACGAGCTACTCACAATATAGACTGTTCAAAGTTCTGGTAAGAAGCGATAACCTGCAGAATCACACAAGTGTGGAATAAGAACCGATTCCCACTCATGGCAGTAGATGTTAGTCACGCTATACAGATTGTTGACTGCAGTTGGAAGATGTAACCTATTGGGATTCAATGCAACAAGCCGAGAGTAGAGCGCTAGAAGTGATGGGTAGTTATTCTTGGATCACTTCCAAGTGAGGTGTTAGGTACAGACGGCTGAAGAGTCTTCAATTGGGACGAAACAGCGGTTAATTGATCCTTTAACTGGTGGAAGTATTTTTTGAACATGGTTATCGCAGCATCTGAATAATGTAATCAGGTTCCACTTGGTCTTTCACATAGTGAAAGTAACTGATGAGAGCTACTTTCAATATAACTCATGTGAGCTTGGACTATTGATTTTAACTGTTTAGAAATGCATGATTTACGCGTGGTTTTTTTTCTTTTTCATATAAAAATTGGTTGAGCAGTACTCACCGTTAATCGAATCTCTTTCGTTATTTCATCCCGTTACTGTTACACTAATAGTTACGAAATGTACAGATAATAACTCTTCAGCGACGGTATTTGAATGGTATGGACTGAAATAGGTAGGTGATGGCTCCATATGCGTTGATTAAGGCTAATAACAGTATGTAGTCAATTATAACCCCTGTGTGCTGCTATAGGCCTAACCTCAAAATTAGTTTCTGTGAGGACATCTGTAGTCAGAAACCTCATCATCTGTCGTACTTTCACTGGCCACATTTTATGGTCTTACAAAGAGCCAAAGGGGACAACTGCACCATATACTTGTTCTTTGATGGATAGTCATAACCGGATATATCGAAGCTGAGGTTTTGTCAGGGCTGATATAGCTCTTCAAGGAAGTGAGGTGGTCAACACGTCACATTACTTCACTGCCTACCCTAAAGTAAGGAATCGATGGAGACTAGTTTGTAAGCATCATCTTACATTTTGCAGGTGTAGGACACGTACCAGACACACTTGGACATTTGGGTTATTAGCTATATCCTGGGTTCGAACCCCGCCCTGTCTACTTCTACCTGGGTAAATCGATTGTATTCGAAACCCTAACACAATAAATATGACTGAAAGCTTAGTACATAACCCTATTTTGTGCTGAGTTTCTCAACCTAATTGTAATACCAAGCCACGTAAATATAGAGTGGATAAAATTTGTATGGGCTATTGTTTACCTACTATCATCTGCTGTACGTGTCACTTCATTGAAATATAAATTTCTTACGCTGAAACATAATTCTTTGATCAAGCAATGTAAAGCAAATCGGCGATAGGATGGATTTGTATGACAAAAGTCACCTGTATCAAATAACCTTGACCAGAAGCCAATGGGTGAACGGATTAACTTCTGCGTTAATTGATTGGTTGAGATCCACCTTATCTGATCTATTTTACTATTTACTTGATGATAAGAAAAATGTAATTAATTGTACAAAATGTGGTTTGAGGAGAGCGTGAGTGGTGATGGATTTTCTAAAATTGGGAGAAAGTCTGTGACTGCCCTACTCAGAAGAAATCAGTAGACTCAATGTCACAAATACGCCTTTCTGACGTTGCTCAACAAGCAAGAAATCTAGGTCAGTCAAAGTATCCTGCTAATTACATTCAGCTATCTAACGTTCAATTAGGTGGAGCGTCAAACTGATTCTCCTAGCTTAGTGATCACATTGTAGAAATGATCAATAAAAGCCGCTCAACAATCAAGACTTAGACAACATAAAAATGGTTACCGACCAGTGACCAGTCATTGTAAACTTTCAGTCTGTTCTAAAGCTTAATATAAGAGGAGACGTGCCTCGAACAATGTTATCTTGGTAACCTGTCTGGTAAAACAATGTTTCAGGTAATATTGTTTGCAGTAGGTAGCCAGTAAACATCGAGCAGAGGAAAGTTTTCCTGCCAGTCATTTCCGTCCACTTATTTGTCAAATGGATGCCAGTTTTCGAAATCTGACTTCTTCAAATCCAACAATTTAATGTTATGTATTTCTCTAGTCAAAAGGCTCATATATACAACACAATTTACATATTAGGCTGGAAACATTGACTAAGGGTGTCATCAGCAGAAATGACTACACGTAGCTTTCTGTACATCACAGGTTTAGTGAATCACAAAATTTGGTAACTGAAACACACATGACATTAGTAACAGTGAACTTCTTAAGTGTTACACTAGCAAATAAACTGGTGTATTCTCGATCACTTACTTGAACTCGTTACTACAACCTACATGACCTTGACTAAACCACGTGATGCTGCCCATCTTAATATCACTACACTTGCTATCCTTTCTCACGCCTATGAGTTTTCAAATTAATCGAACACAAGATTAGATATTTGCTACTGTCTAAGTAGCAACCATCCAATTAGAGACTTATTGTTCATTGTCCTTTTAAATGCAAGGAAATGGTCAATGCAAATAAAAAAAGTCGACTGAATCAAGATGATTCATGTTCAACTAACCAAGCGAAACCAGTATGAAAAAAAATAAGACTATGGGGTAGATTAAGTCAACTTCAAAGAGAATGATTTCAATCAACTTAAGATTTGATGGTGATTTTGCGTCAGTGTTTTCAAAAGTCCCTGAGAAGGAAATTTCGACACCGTAAAGCTCCTTGGTGTTCTCATTTTAACACCTGATTTATTAATACGTGAAGTTAACGCATTGGACCTCATTAGCACGTACTTACAAGTTCACTTGCTCCTGTGAAGCTGAGTACGTAGGCCGTCCAATGTGCTCACTTGAAAAACACAACCAAAAGGATGAGCATAAAATAATCTCCAGATCCATCGTTGAATGACTTTCTAGACCCTGGAAGTCTGGCTCCTGTTGAAACTTCTTTCAAAGTTCACTACACAATTCGATCAAACGATTCAAATGGGGGAAGGATTAGATACTTATATACAGCCAAAGCTGTGGCAGTTCACAGCTGTTGTATATCCAAAAGAAAAAATGTGCAGATACATCGTTTATCTTAACCTTAAGCAGATACTCTTCATCTCTTTTGATGTTTTATTTAGCGTTTCGTTTGTTTCATTTTAAGGTTGCATTCGTGGGTTGCAAAATCACTAAGACCCTGCGAGCACTAAACAAGTGTTTCGTCCTAGTAAGGAACTCTTCTTCAGCACGCACCTTTGGTCTCTCAAGAGGTCAAACCCAGGACCTTCAGGTTTCAAGGTGAACGTTTAAATCATTAAACTAATGGATTGGAATATATCTGTCTTTGGTGTAATATCTTTTTGTTATTCTATTTCCACTTCCATCTCCTTGGTCTGTTGTAACACTGAGAGCTGACTGTACCTTACGTAAATATGTTTTGATCACCGTGTACTGAAAAGTCTGTTTGCCTGCTACATGACTACTAGCAGACAGCTCACTGAATTGAAACAACTGGAGAGTTTACATAAAGACACAACTGAACAGTAGCCATCACAGTCCAACGTACTTCTCAAAGGTCATACATTCTTTATTTAAACAAAAAAAGCACTTACTATCATTCATTTTACTCACCTTAACTGGCTATTCAGTTAGTATAAATATTATGTGATCAATATTTATTAGGTGTAGATATCTCTGAAGAAGAAAGACGTGCACAACCTTGGTTACTAATGGTTACCACGAACGAAGTGAATTCAAACTCACCTGATCAATTCTACGTTAGTCTGTTGTTTATAGATGTGGTATACATTTTTGTCACGAAAACATTCATTTGTCAAGTACGAAATGAGAGATGCATGCATATTATATTACATGGTTTGAGGGAATTGGCACAAAACCTTACTCGGCATAGGTTTCGTGCTTTTCAGCACTCGTCAGCTAGGTATATCGAAGAGCAATGATATTTCCAAAGACAGACTGGAACTCCCACCAACTAATGCTGAAGAAAGTGGCTACTTCACCACTAACGCAATTTACAAGACGACTCACCTCCCTGTGGGACTGACCTACATTCACTAAGTGTTCATAGGATGGGAACCAAGGTAGTATACAAAACCTGACACAAATTTAGGTCATCACTCACTGACTTATTTGCATATGACTCCATATTTTAGTTTATTGACATTAAGAATGATTCCAACTAGGACACGATGACATCTTCCAGTAACAGTTCTACTTAAAAAAGACATTTTCATAAAAGTACTCAGGCATAAAAAAACACATTTACTTCAGAATAGTTATTTGTACAAGAGAATAAAATTTTTAGTAATCATAAAGCCTTAGACAGGAAGGCGAGGAATTTAAAAAAAGGTCACCACTTTTGAAAGGACTATGCTGCTTTTTTGGCGGTGAATGTCTTCGTGTGTGTCGAAGTTTTTTCCCGCCTATCAGATTACTCAAACAACATGTGGTGACCTTGAATATTGAACAGAGGAGGGGAATTCAAAACAATCATTCACAGAATCAATTGAAGTGTAGATGAGTTTCATTTCTTTAAAGGACGGAAAACACGGGCACAAGAGATTACAACTTTACAGATATGCATCATTCTACTGCTTTGAATCATCAGAATCTACTGAGTTACTTCTTTTCAGTAGTATCCTATGAAACTATGCATTTATTTTTAGCATTCACTTTACTTAATGCATTGACACGTTTTCTTAATTGTTCAGCAGTTCTTTTTCGTCCAATTGTAGTTAACGCTAAGTATAATTCATTCAATGGAGATTGATTATCACCCACTCCATGTAACCAAATGTTCAATAGACGAAATGTATGCTCTTTGTAAGAATTCTTACCTAGATTATGTGCAAAAAGGAAATGAAAAAAGTTCAAAAGCAAAAACATTTCAGTTTCATCATTCTGAGAAATTCCAAGGAATGTCACATTTCGAATTAAGCGATTTAAACCCCCTATTTGATTGGTCAATCCACAAGGTCACCGAAGAAAATCATGATTTTTGCGTTGTTCATCATCAGTTTGGTGCAGAAGTTAACACGTTTAACTCCTCCCTGTTTTTTATTGGCATTCCGATTACTAGTGGTGGGTTTGGTTCTGAAGTTCGTATTAGTGTCATCGTCTGCACGTAGTAGTACTGTGTCGTGCACTTCAGTCTGAAACATATCTTAATCTCCTGAAGAGTAAGTTAAAGCTGAGAAACTATAAGTAGTTGAATTCCATAACCATAGCAGGTAAGGTGACAAGCTTGTTATCTGTAGGCTGTTGGTGTGACTTAAGAGTTTGTTTTCATTGTATTCATCTGCCCTTTATAATGGCAGTGAACACAAACACAAAATTCTGCAAGTTTCAACATAATTATGATGCTTAGTTATGGTCACTTCTATTTGAGTTGATTTATTAGATGTATCACACAGTGGAGCAGTGTTATCTACTGAACAAAGCTTCGGACACAATTTATCGCCCATATATCCGGAACAGGTGCTGACTCATTATTCCTGCTGCATGTTGTGTTTGAAGCTGATTTAATAATCAGAGATTCGGTTATCAATCACTGCGTCCATCCTGGCTATAGTCGAGCTTTTTTTAGGTTCATCACCTTACTAGGATCTACTGATTTTGGCCTAGTTGGATCTTTTTATTAGGATAGGCTAATTGACCCTGGCAGGTCGACTGATTTGACCTCATAGTCGTTGCAAGGGATTTTGAAGACTAAATTATTCTGCTTAATTGGTTCAATAGAACCTTTCAAGCCACAAAGCTTATTTCTAAGTGACTTTGTAAGTTTGGGTTCCACTGTTAATGTCAGCTTTGTTAAGAGTCCTATGTAATGTCTCTGAAGTATCTTGCTTGAATATTAATAGTGTGGAGGTTTTGAAGTCTCTCTTCACGATATTGCCATTATTTTTATTACTGATACTGAGTAATGATTGAAGATGAAATGAAAATTTGAATCACAGAGGGATTCGAACCAGTGAACACCCGGTTTCTCTTTTGATGCTCAATGGGTAGAGCATCAAATCCGGTCACTATCCAAATTTTTATTTCACCTTCAGTCGTTACCCAGTATCAATATAAGTCTGCTAAACCACGGCTATTTCACTCACATATTCAAAGATGATAATCAGCTATTTTTATTACTAGTATTAGCATCTGTGTCACTAATATTATTCAGATTTTTTGCACAGTTCCTAAAGAGATAATTGTTGATGCTTAAGGTGTCCTTAGTGTATCTGATTTCTTCTCTTACATCTTCTATTTTATTAGTAAGATTTTTGGCTACGTTATCATATATAAGGCACTTCGAAGACATTATGCAGGATTTACAATAAGTCTGGGATTAGAGTGCCAATTGAATCTCATTTTAAAACTCGCTCTGAAATCATTTGGAATTCAATGGGGACTCTATCTGTCCAAGTGAATGTAGGATACCTTCTGTTCGACTAGTCTGCGGTTGATATTTTCTAGCTGTCATCAATGCCTAGAGGATAGGTTACCCTTTGTGTCCACATCTATGTGTATCTGCAAATACTTACATGCTCCAGTCGCGATGACCATATTACAAGCGAATCCTCAGAGAATACACTACTAAACAGTATCCAGTTTGGTTGCTTTAAGGTGACCTAAGAACAGCAACTTCATGCATATGTGAACACCTAATGAAGTCAGGTTATTCATATCCTCGAAGTTCATCTTTTCAGGTAATTTACTGAGTCAGGTTGAATTACTCCAAAGGTCTATGACTTCACTATTTATGCATAGCTGAAGCAATAACCGCATATAATAAAAAATCTGAACAGTGAATTGCCTACACTGAACTTAGTTACGGTATAATGAATCTCCAGGCAGTATCGAGGCATCCGGAGAACTTTAGATATCGGCAGTGACTTAAGTGACTGTCTCGTCTTGTTTCTGAACATATCAACAGTGAACAAATGCAACGAGGCATCATCTAACAAAGAACTGTCAGACTTCTCGGCCAAAATGTGACAATTCAGCCAATGTATCAAGAAAAAAAGGTCTCCATTCTCCAACTTACACCGGTTTGTCAGGTGCACTAACAGTAGTTTGGAGCTGTTAGTGGCCACCTAGCTTGTACTTTTGATGAAAAAGATGGCGGTGTATTGTATGAAGTCAAAGAAGAGTACTGATCAGCTATGCTAGTTCATTCTAGTCTACAGTGATTATTCAGAGGGTACCAGGATGTGATGAAAAATTTCTCTTTATCACTGAATCCCATGGAAAATAATTTTCGGCATTTCGTTCTCAACGGGACTCATTATACATGACAACAAAGTCAAGTTCAGCGTAGTTACAAATGAGATTAGTTCTTTTGTTGGGATACAGTGAAACGGTATTCTTTTTTGTTTACTGGATGATGTTTTGAGCACAATTTATCTCTCACAATCATATTAGGGTAATCATTCACCTTCCTGTCTCAACTTTTTATTGTTTTTAATTGCCATGTATTCGTTGATTTTATTGGTAGTACAGTTTTCCAGAGATCTGGAATCGACAATGAATCATTCCTATTACATACGTTAAGTGTTCAGTGATCAACTTCCTCTCTAATTAACTTCGTCAGTCTTCAAGTCTGTAACTTCAAGAATGTTACACCGTATTATGTGGTTATGTGCTATCGCATGCATAGCTACAGGTAAATTCTTCCCTAGATGATCTATTTTACCAGGGTTTGCCATTCTAGACTTAGCTAGCTTCCTATATCCTGATAAATATGACTAACCGTGGTTGGGCACCTTGACCCATACACCGAGTCTCACTCACAGTTATTGCACAGAGTTGGAAGAAATGATTAATTTTGTCTAAATTTATCGATGGACTACTTAGACGGACAACGTTTGTCTCCAAAGGGAATTTGTAGATTTGAAGGTCATCATAGCCTCAGCTTTACTGAGAATTCTGTGTCACGTTTTCTTTAAACTAATCAACACAACCGAGTTTATTGATTTCACCTAGCACCAAAATATAAAAGAAAGTAGAACAGAAAATCAGCGAGAAAGTCTGTTAACCTACCAATATTCTGATAACCAATCGCTTTTACATCGTCTGATGTAAACGCCCAAAATTCCGCTAAATGTTTCCAATCCCACGGTTTTGCATGCCGATGAGAATATTCAAAGAATAGAATATTCATATCTTCTGCATAATGCTGAAAAGAGAAAAGTTTTCTATTGATTTGTTTATCAGATAAAACACATTCAGAAATATATACATACACACAGATGCAGCGAAGGTGTGTCATTATTTTGTCGGGCAACATTCTGTAGCGTCAAATCCCCACTTGGTTTAAATGTCTATAAATATTTGAAACAGTTATTATGGGTTTGTAGTAGTAGTAGTAGTAGTAGTAGTAGTAGTAGTGTGAGTAACCATGACTCTTTAAATTGGCATATATCTGTTTTGTAGTTACTCACTAAGGCGTTAAGGCGATGAAGCTATACACGATGTGGTTAGGTGGTGCTAGGTCTGTGATTCAAACCCAGGAAGCCGGAGATAATGTGTACATCGGTGATTATTGGTCCACCCTAGCCACGTTGTGACCATGAAGCTCTTCGTGACCCTCCTGAATGTCAACTAATAAACCATCAAACGTGACATAGAGGTAAAAGCTGTGGATAAGACCTTAGTGAGATGCATCTTGAGCATGTCTGCTCCCGGAGAGATGTGTTCAGTGAACTAACTGATTACCTTGAGAATGTGAATGCACTAAAGCCTAATGGCTGGGAGGGATCTGGGATTACACAGATCAGTTTTGAGTTGACACTAATGGAGTGCTGTGGTAGCATTGTTCATTTTCATTTGCAAGTGTTACTTAGATGTCTCTTGATCGGTGAGGAGATCGATTTACCAGGTTATTGGAAATAAAGTCCATGATGTAGAGAGTAATCCAGCCTGGATCATGGTTGTGAATGAATTTGGTTGAAGTCTTTTCTAAATTGCTTTTCCTACTAAACTAATCTAGCCCTAAATACTCTGCTAGCCTAACTGACTTCATTCACGGAGGACCTCAAAATCATTATGTAAAGTAATTCTGTTTTTTAAAAGACCAGCAAGTTCCTGCAATCAATGAATTGTATCATTAAATGTCCAGGTAACCCTACTGTGGGTTGCATACAAGGTTTCCTAGTTTCATTTTTTGATATGACAACAGTGCTAGCTTCAAACTATTTTGTGATGTTATCATATGATCAGCTATTTTGTTCACATCCCTAAAACTATTACTAGTTTTGTCTATTTTAAATTACTACTTTCAATGCATTCCTGAATAAACTTTTGTCGAAGACTAAACATGCAGCCGTAAATCCATTGGTCGAAAAGTATTGTGTGTCTGTTAACTTTTGTATTGACCTTACTTGACTATTTGCTGCTTGTAGGTCAGATAATAACCAGTTTACCCTGATGACATTCGTATATGTAAGTGACTGTCTCAGAGTTTTCCATTCGGTTATGTTTAGTCAGAATACCGAGTAAATTCACAGTTGTCAATTTAGACAACAGTGAATGGAAATACACTAAACTTCACCCACCCACACAATCAACTCACAGATCCACCTTAACATATGAAAGATACTTCTTAAGCAATAATGTTTCTTTTGTATCTCTTGTCTCTTGATTTAGGTATTCTGACTTATTTCTCATAGATCTTTTACCCTATAACCTAGACTACTTTTGAATGACTCAAAGTTTGAGCACCGATTTGAGAGTTAGACGTCGATTGACTAGACTCCCTGAAATTCACTCATCTGGTATCTTCATACAACCAGGACCTAGCGTAGAAATGCATCAGTTTTCCATAGAACACCAAGAACATGTGGATGGATAAAGAGTAATATTAAAGTGGATAATCATATTTGAGACAAGAGGGAATGAACAGATTAGGCTTAGTATAACTACTCACATAATTCAGAACAGTTGTATAGTACATAATGAGTTAATTTGGGATGTTGAACTGGTCATCTTCAGCTTTCTTTTTGCACCCGACTAGCATTGTATGTCAAGGTAGGCGGTAACACAGTATACACAACACATATCCAAGCCACGCCAGTCAGTGAAGGTTCACAGCCTTATCGATTACCTAACTACAAGATTGTGATATCACTACACGCAAGCAATTTCATGAAGATATGTATGGTCCAAAAGTACCTGTAGACCATCTCAAATCTTCTACTTTCAGTAGCCACGTCTCACAGCTGGAACACACTATAAAAGAGTGAACTTCTGGGCAACAGAGAAGATATGGGCAGGTCGATAAATATCTTCTGTAAAGGTGTACACACTGAATCAAATCGGCCTTATCTTACCTACATAAGAAAATTGAAAAATTAGAAGATTACTTTTAGTTTGATGGCATGTATCGACTAAGTGGTTAGTTCAGTCCTCTGTAAAGTAGATATGTTTGAGTGTACTTTGTAATTCCATCAGAGTTTTGCCTATCTCTCATTCCAGTATGCTTAAATCCACGTACACATATACCACTCAAACATCACCATTCACGTTCCACTCCCTATACTCACAATTAGAAGAACCGCCTGGGTTTTTGAACCAGAGGTTGAAGTGTTACATTCCTATTTGTTTCATCCAGTTTGCTGAGATTCCGTCGGTATGAGAAATTCGATTCCATGAGCTCAGTTTCTTTGGGTACATTGCTGATGAAGTGGGCTTCAAGTGAGCGATCTGAGTAGCGAAATCTACAAATCAATGCGAGAGTCTCCAAACTACTTATGTTGTTCAGTAGTATATTTTTTCATTTAAGGCCCCTGGCTTATGTCATCTTATCGTTTGATTGTGTGTTAGCTAAATGTGCCATTTAATACAGTACTGGAGTCAGACACGTTTCATTGGGATAATAGGGCTGTCAATTTCGTTGTCACTGTGGTCGATTAAGTATTTCCAGAATATATCAAAAAGTTTTTGGTAGCTCTTCTTGACGGTGAACAGTCAACCAGTGATACAAACAGCCTTCATATGTTCGCAGAAAGCATAAAATTTATAGAAATGAACTATGCTACGCAATCAGTCAGTCACTCACTTGGCATGGTGCTCTAAGTGTAAACGGATTGGTTGAATTCAACCCGAAACCACTGGTTAAACGCATATTCTTATTTGACTGAATCACTTGTGCATTATTGACACGAAAGAGTGTTTCACCATTCGGCAGATGGATTTCATCGCCTTGAATACGATTCGATAAATTTGTAAGACTTGTATGTATTCGATCTTTACTAATACCATTATTATTATTATTACTATGATTGTATTGTTCACTTAAATCAGTTTCTGAGTAGTTGTGATTATGATTCAAGCTACTAGATCGTAGAGGACTTCTTAATCCATTTGATGGCTCGTTTATGTGACGAGTATTTGCTTGATTCCAAACACGACTAGCTTCATAGCCTAGGGATAATTCACTGCCTGATTCAGAACTTGCTGTTGACCTTGAACGATGATCGATAATCATCCTACCATGTTTATTATTATGACCATTAAACTCTTCAGTGAATTGTTTGAATGGATCAATAAACTCTGACATGAATAAATCATCATTATGTACAGAATTATTTTGTGAATATACTGAAGTGTTAGGGGAATAGATTTGAGGATTTTGTCGGGGTAGTGCATAAGCATTTTGTGATCTAGTATCATCCTGTTCAAATGATATTGTTTCTGACGATGGTGATGTTTTCTGAGCAACAAATGTTCCACTGTCAGAATCATCATTGTCAGTTAACTCTTCTGTTTGACTTCTTGAAGATATCTGTCAGTTAAATATCACTTTAAAAGATTATTCTAAACAATAATTAATAAACTATGAAATAAAATGATAAAAATCAGAAAATGTTTTACTTTATGAATTTCAGAACTAACCATAAACTTGAAGATATGACTGTCAGTTAAGTTGTAACCAGGATGTGTGAAAGATTCCTGAGGCTGTTTAGTCAAGAAAATCTTTCACTGGATTTATACAATATCTGACAAATCAAAAAGGGTTGAAAGTGGGCAATACACTTGCACGGTTGACTCACGGATACTAAAGTCTACAGAGTTCCTCTTCGTGTATGACCAAACCAATAGCTGAAGTGTAGAGTTACTGTTTCATATCTGATTTATAGTTGACTTTAGTTTAGATATTAAGGACGAACAGCGGTTAATAGAGGAATCCTATTTAAAACTTATCAATCAAATTTATATGATGATGTTTCTCCTGAGACTAGAACCTGATATCCATCGCTTAAACGCCGCTTTAAGCCTATAGACAATGAATAATATCAAGTTTCAGTATCAGTTCACTGTTGTGCTGAAATGTTTGCTTATTTTCGTGCACGGTCCACGTTGACATCTCTCACAGCTATGTAGCTTTCCCAGCTACCCAACCCTGGTTTCCGCCGGAGACCATTCATCGGAGATCATAAGGTGTAATCTTTGACACAAAAGTGTTATGGACTAGCAAGGCATACTACTACTCAGCAATTCAAGTAGTTAGGAAACTTTCAGGCTGATCTGTAGATTTCGCAGGCAATCAAATCAGAGTGACCTAAGCCCCGTATAGTTATTTCGCTAGTCCAGGGCCAATGAGCTGAATTTGTGCACGCACGCAGCTAATGAGCTCAGATATAGACGAGTACAATGGCCTATCTAGTGATTAGATTACTCTTATTTGGCTGATTGCAAAATCCTTATATCAGCCCTGACGGGTATTTAACTACTCAAGTGTGATTTTTTTATGTTCGTCCAGCTAAGGATTCACGATGGTCACTGTGCGACGAGATGGGATCTAGTTTAACCACCTACTCAGTCCACTTTACACATAACTCAACAGTATACAAAGGAACGATATCGTTCAAGTAGACTGTTGTTATTTCGCACTGAAAGTTCTGTCTTATGAACTGGTTGCCCTTAGTCACAAATCACGTCAACTCGTATTATATCTGGAGTAGTTACCGAGTGTACCAAGCGGTGGACTAGTTGCATTGAAGGTAGTGGATCACCTTAAGAACTGTAAACTTTGTGACTGCTATCTACAGCATAGTATAGACATGCGTCACACGAACTGGAAGAAAATGACTGAAAATGTCGATGGTGTTGGTAAAATAAATATTAAGTTCCTATTCTTATCTTACATATCGTTAGTTTCATCATATCTTCTCCCCGGGATCTCTTCAATATATGAGCATATATGGGGATATAAACCAACAATCCAGTTTCGAGGAGTTTCTACACTGTATCCTTCAACTTTGAACTGGAGACTTGGATTGGCAAATCAGCAAATGACTATCAAGTGGGTTGAAGCTATTCCACTCAACCTCACACCAAGTAGTCAGATAATCTGATGAACTGGGGTCTTTTACCCTATTACAGAGACCTGCATGAGTATGCATGAATTGCATTTCAAACAGTGTGAGAACAGAAACACGGTACACATCATATTTTAGTTTAAAAAGAAGGTGTGAACAAGTAAGTCAAATGGTGAGTAACTCACCTCTACGTGTTTACGAGACTTTGAACGACGTTTTCTCGACTGCAAGCTTGGTGTTACACATCTGTTCTCTTGTATTTGTACAATTTCATCAAGGAATTTTTTAGCGTCTGCCTGTTAAAGAAAGAAGAACAGAGAAATAAACAGTTAAGGATGTCAGTATTGAATTTCTTTCTGTCAGTTATGAAAACATCTCAACCTACAAAATGAGTCCTATAGAGTCATGAAAAATTCACGGAGGAAAAATTATTTAGCGATAAAAGCTTACTTTTCAGCGAATCATTTTCAGAAATTGTACATTCATATTTATAGGCACAACATGAAATTACATTCACCACTGACCAGAAAGTCATTAAAAAGCTGTTCTCGTAAGTATTAGTAACGCGTTACTGGGGTGATTGCGTAATAATCTAAAGTGTTTAATATTAGCAAATAAAATGGAAGAAACTGTAGAAAGATGATAGTAATAATAAGGGTAGAAGTGACAGATTGACTGTTCCTCTATTAAACACAACAGAGATCAGAAGTGAACTAGGGAATTGCCAAGGCTTCTGTTACATGAAGGTGATGAACGCGTCCGTACTACCTACAGAGTGTTCGGTTTTATCTTATGGATGACCTTGAAGAAACAGTCTAGTAAATCAGAATGATCAAAGCTAACCAAAAGCTCAAGAATCGAGGTGTTAATCACTTTTCAATCTTCTTTAGATGTGTTTGGATCGTACACGATATCCGCTGCCTAAGTAAACAGTTCCACAACATGCAGGTCGCTCAGTGTGATACTTAATCCTTTTGTTTCTTCTCTTAAATTTCTTATGTTAACACATCAGACTTTTGTTGTACGTATTTGTGAACATAGTATTATAGGACATAGTACAGAAACACTGTGATGCATGTATACTACAACTGAAGAACTTGAATAGTTTAAAACCAGTCAAGTTGATCTAAAGATTTCACCTGCCAGTCGGATCAGAGAGATGAAAGCACCGGATCTATGGATCAGCGTGAGTGTTTTCTAACTATTTAAGTTGTTAAGTAGTAGTATATCTCGCTAATTTATGACAATTTTGTGTCAGAGATAACACCTTGTGATCTCGGCTGCAAGGTAGTTTCAAGTGGAAACCCTGTTAACAGGTAGAAGTTGAAAAGTGACTACTCAACCATGTGAAATGTCAGCATGGATCGTGCAATTTGATCTTGATTAGGTTATGACCAATGCTCAGTTATTTCTTCATGACTATGAAAAATGTTTAACTCAAGAAGTGAATCCAGATTTCCCTTTTGAATGATAATGAGAAACCTCATTTTTCAGATATTTGCAACTCCAGTGTACCAACAGTCTATTAGCTGCCTAATCGATCAAATTACTTCACTGTCCTGTTTCCGCATCCATTCTTGTCTTCCCAATTAATTACTGAGATAACCAGTTCTATACCGATATACTACTGAAAACGCCTAAACAATGATAATTTTCAGATTTATTCCTTGATTTTCATTGATTTTTTGGAAACAGAAACAGTGGGAACACCGCAACCTTAGGCTGTACATGAAATACAGTGGAGTCTACAAGAGCCTTGTTTATTTCCAGATCTTCCTAGAAGGCTTTTCTCTATTGTTTTGCCGCTTTAATCAATCCAATATTTTCACGTAGGATTAGTCTAAAAAATCAGGAGAACTTTGATTGGTCGTGAATGATTTCCCCCATTTTCAGCTTCTTTGAGGAATCTAAACAATCATAGCAGTTATATATACCATACACTGGGAAAGTTGTGATTCGAATGAACAATACAATATATATATATATATATATATATATATATATATATAAACAACGCTACTAAAGTGTCCAGTTTTCAGTTTCTGTCTAGAATCAGACAGGACTAGTAGAATCTCACTTACCGGATATGTTTTACGCCATCTATCAGCTCGTATGATCATATCAACCAATACTGTGTAGTTCGCTCTAGCTGCAACCATGAGAGGAGTGTGACCATCCTGAAATTTAAACATCGATCGACAAAGTTACATTGTAACAAGTTTTGGATTATTTATGTGGTGGTAGTAATTCTAAGGTTTTATGCACAGATGAGGGATGAAACCAGACTTAGGAGTGTATATGACTATTTATCCTAGATGATAGCAGTCAAGTACATATGATTTATTAATTTATCGATCCATCATCGTAATGAATGAACCAATCACTGACTCATCTACAAACTTAGTCTTCGTCTAGTTATGCATATTCACTTTCAGTTATTATGTGTTCTTTACAAATGATACGTTATGACCGAATTCTGACAATAGGGTTTTCAGTACATTCAACAAAACACGTTACGCTGTATTAGATGTTATGCGGTGATAGATAGTTGCAAAGCCTACGAATCACTACTGACCTGGTGAGTTTCTCTAGGTCACCTGTAGAAGTTACAACGTAACATCTGATATCTACTGGGTTGCATGCCAAATAGGGATGCATACTCTTATCCAGACTTGGTGAGTGACCTTGTTTAATCGTAAATCGACTTTTTTACAGTTTGTAAATAGTAGCTGAACTTTTTTATCGATTGCAATAACCAATTAATTTTCTTTTTGAGATGAATACTTTCATGGTATTCAGTTAAATCCAGACTGTATAAAAATGTTGTGCATCAAAAATGACCAACCGAGTTGACCGATGTCCATAGAAGCAATCATAGTAGCCGAAGAATAACCAATCACTGGCGAGTGACCTTGATCTAGTTAGTCCTTACTCTTATTAGTCGATAAATTTGATAAGGCCGCACACTGTTTTATTTCAGACGCATATTTATTATTTCTGGGCTGATTTTTAAATTAAACTGCTCTAATCTAGTCAACTTTAAGTTTCCCGTACACAAAACAAATAATACTGACGAATGATTATTAGTATTATTAAAAGTGAGAAGGGAAATACAACACATTAAACGTAACTGGCTACCTTATCTTTCACGTCCAATGGAGCACCACAAAATAAAAGTGCTTCGACTGCTTCAAGTCTATTCTGAGAAACTGCATAATGCAAAGGTGTCTGTTGATGCTAGAAAAATAGGAAATAAATGAAGGTATGATGAAAGGTAAGCGGACTCGAACCTTGAAGTAATTGATAAAAAAGAAGAAATATGAGAACGATTATTAGCTCAATAAGACACTGAGACTGAATACGAATAACAACTGTTCTTCTTCGGAACTTTATACTTCTATCAGCCGTGAAAATCAGAAGGTAAAGACCGGTCTGTGAATTCAAAGAAAATGCTATTCGACTAAAATATTTCCCTTACACAAATTTTTCGTGAATATGAAAGTTAAATAGCTTATTCTGATTGGTCAACTGCAGAACGAAATTGTCCAATAACATTTTGCCTGACCACACAGCACAGTGACATGAAACATAAATTGAAATCCAAGAAATTCTGAATAATTTGAATTAGTAAGGAGTACTGAAAGAGCAAAATGCTTACACATCCCCTTTAAGTTCTATGGTTCTCAACTAACCTTGGTGATGTTTAGTTCAGTTTCGGGCGAAGTTACTTCACTTGTGCACTAACCGTTGTCCCCCTTCGTAATCCCTTAGTTTTCAGACTCTTTTTGAAATGTTACTTCTATCTGCTACTTATGAGTAGTGATTTGACAATCCTTTCTCCAAGTAAAGCGAACATGCTGAAGAAATCTACTGCGTGTTATGAAAACGGTCATCGTACCTGAAGTGACCTTTTTAAAAAGATGCATTTTTTTAATGGATAACTGATCAAATCACTAAGTGAGAATTTCTTGCAGACACCTTTTCGGTGGGGTGACTAAGTGGCCTATAGGATTTTTGGGTTACCAAAAAATATCCCGCCAAATATTTGACAGCAATTCGCTTTCGTTTGTTGTATCAGCTGAAAAGTGTTACTGGTCGTACATTATTTTGTATATTTTAATGGATAACATTACTGTTTAGCTCGCTTGATTCAACACCTTTGGATTGACATCTCATTCATCCATTTAGGTATGACTTATATTTCTGAAATATAACTGTATACTGATTAAAATTATTCAATCATTGTAAATTCTCTCACTTTTTGTGCTTTAAATCGGTCGTTTATTCAGTATGATATGCTGTAGTCGACTGATTTTGTTCTAAATACAGATGAATGCGATCGACATGGACACTGAGAACCAAACTTTGTGTTTTATTGTACTAGGTTGTTATTGGACTAGGACTAATTCGAGTGACTCATTATGTGAGTGGGTGAATTAAGTATACGAGACCGAGCATGTGTACGTGAAACCAATCACGTTCAAAGTCAGCTTTTGGGCTCAATCAATAGAATCACTTACGTAAGACAGTTGCAACCAGACTGAGTTATAACCGATCGGCGACTTGGTTAACACACTTCAACTTTTTTATTACCTTTACAGTATGTTTTCTGATTGCTTACAACTAGCAGTTTCGCTAGTTAGCAAGGAAATCTGGCTAAAATGTCACGACAAATGGCGACTAGTCTTCAAACGTCCAGCAGTCCGCTATGTATGGAATAATACTGTTGCTTGTATTATCCCATCGTTGAGTGGACCAAACTGATCGGTCTCCCCTGACATATTGGCTTCTACACGGATCTCCGTGTCTTGCTTGTGCGTGGATTACATATTAATGGTGGATAGTTAATGGCAGTGGAGTTCAGAATGCGCGCTTCGTCCCATTCCCAACTCGTTACCTGGATGTACCTATCTCCTGTTGAGCAGTGTTATCCCCACCAGGACTCGAACCAGGGACTGATCTCTTCAACAAGAAACAACTTGAAAACCATCCCCCTCTGGTAGATAAAACTTTGGCCTTTCAAGCGATCGGTCCCGAGTTCGAGTTCTGATCGGAACAGTATTGCTGACTCGGAAGCAGGTACATCTACCTGACAAGTTCGGAATAGGGCGAAACGTGCGTCAAACTGGATTCCACTGCTAACTACTTCCCATCATTAGTATATTAACCCTGAAATAGTTAGGAAAAGCTGTAGATTTTCATCCTGATTGAACTAACCATCTCCATCATCAGCACTGTGTAAGTACGTTTCTTGAAATATTCAATGTTTAGAAAGCCACAGTGTTTTTATTATTACCATTATGTTCATCATGCCTCTGGCATTAATCATAAATGTAAACGGTTAACTGTTTCGTCAACACACATCAGTATTCATCCATATTAAGCGTCATTTATCGATTCAAAAGATGGTGTACAAATCAAAACTCTGAAGAGTACTAATCGCTCAAATGCTTCATTCTAAGAAAACTTTTGAGTGTGATTATTTCTCACAGCTCCATAATGCTCAATATAATATGAAGCTTGGCAACATACCATGGACATGGAAACTTTCTATATTTTTCAAGTATTCCATTGTTGATTTCTGGTTATTTACAATGTGAACATAATTAGCTACATTTGATCATTGCAATAAAAATACACCCAAAACTTGACAAAAATGTTACAAGAAATCACTGATTATTTCTCCTTCAAATTTATTGGGTAGCGTTTTTATTCACTCTAAAAAGCTGGATTAATAATTCTCACGGTCGAATTTTACTCCAACATTTGATTCATTTTAGAAAACAGTCAACCTCAGTTTGAAAACAGTGTTAATCAGTTAGAAATTCGGAAAAATTTATTGTTCTTTTGTCATTAGATGTGTTATGTTCTCGGTGAAGCGAGCGTTTCCACAGACGCATGTATGAGTACTTATGTATAGGATAAACTATCACTTTAGACCACTTCCATGTGTGTTTACCAATTCCTCATCTGCTGTTGTAGAGTTGGCTACATAGCCCATACAAAGCCTGTTCTATCCAAATGCATCTCGAAACACTATCATGCATGGTTGTATATAGGATAGTGTAAAACCATCAACAACTTGATTCTTGAGCATTTGGTCCCTGTGTTCCACGGGATTCTTATTCCACAGTCATTTATAAAGTGAAGGCAAATATTTCGAAGTGAGTGGGTATTCCCCACCTTAACTCAACAGAAGCTCCGGTTAATCAGCACTACATGCCTTCTCTTTGTGTTCGAAAAAGATAGATTCATTGCCTAATTTTCCTTGGTAGTAACCTCCCTAAAATTCTCTACTCATTTCTTTGTTTATTTACTATGATCATATGGCGAATTTTTGATAACCTTGAGAGTTGACCTGGCCGTTATTACCTTGTGACTTCATTGATTATTTTTGATGACCTTGTATTGACGCATTTGCCATTGTTGAACATATATATTTATATATTATTGTACTTATGATTATGATTGTACAACTTTTAACAATGAGTCCTCGAAAAGGAAATTTTCTTCACTGAATTGTCTATTAGTAATTTAAAAAAGAAAAAACACACCTTAAGATACACTCCATTTTGAAAATGTATTCACCTCAAACTTGGCTTAATTTTACGCTGTACAAATGTCGAAATTGAAGAGAGAGAGAGAGACAGGCAGACAGACAGACAGACAGACAGAGAATGTACTAAAATGAATATCCTTCGTTGTGGGATTCCATAATTTTTTAAAATCCTACACTAGAATTTGATCCTAGAAAACACAATTTCTTAGGACGAAATTGTTGGTCGATTGTTGACCTGATTACCTGTGATACAATACTGCCTAGTCTGTAACTTCTGTTCTTCTAAGAACCTTACAGATATTGACACATCTTAGATCTGAAGTGATATTTAGCAGCTTCGCAAACAGTCACTGCATTCATAATCACTTACCTCATTTGTAGCGGTCACATCAAACTTTCTTGAAAACAGAAAGTAAATTGTATCTGTTAAATTACCCAAAGCAGCTTCATGCAGAACTGTATCCCCAGCCTAGAATTATTATTTTGAAAAATCGTAACAATGTTAGAAAAGCATCAGCATATAAAGTTATCACGATGAGGAGAAAAATGAATGACATTGAACAACCATAAAAAGTAAGTTGAAGTAAAAAACCTATTGGAAACTGCCACACATGCACATAAATGATTGGTTAGCTATGTGACAGTATCATTCATTGTTCAGTGTCATCCATCTCCCAATTAGCTCCGTTTAGCTGCATGTGCGGCTGCTGACAACCTACTTCACCATTGTATTATCGACAGTCAAAATATTCGGCGAAATTCTCCTGCAATTTGATGCACTAAGTAGAATGTAGCTAATTAGAACCAATGATTCATTGAATCCTTTTCCAATGTTTATAGCAGGGAAACATTTTTTTTGAAAATCGACATCAGCACAAGTGTAGTTTCAGGTTTTCGGTTATTTTATCTGTTTCAATGTACTATTCATCACTACCATCAGTTAGAGAACCATTGAGAACCTGAGAGCATTAGAAAACAATTTAGGCCTACAAACAAGGGACTCCTCAGCAGTATACACCCATGGCCGTGCCGAGGATTGAACTCACGACCTTCGGGTCTCTTGGTGAATGTGTTAACCAATCAGTCACTGGGTGGCACTTCAGTGGTCCACAGTTTCTCACTTCTGTCAATTCACGATAAAGCGCGTATACCCACTACGATCTTCCGTTGACGTTCGCTTCACTTCCAACTGATTGACCTGAAAGGTTGTGGTTTCTACTTAGAACTTCATGATATTCATCTCGAAAGAGTGAACAGATATTTCCTCCTAGTGTAGGACTGTTCAGTAATATAGGTATTTATTAGAGTGAAGTTATTTTGCTAAAAGTGACATCAGCTAAAAAATATGCTGAACAGCACTTCGGTGTAGATCAATATAACAGACAGCTGAACAAGTTATTTGTCACTTTTTTTTTTAGCAAAAACCAGTTTTTTCCATGAGTTCAGTGAAATGGAATTGTAGTTTGATCAAGTGCTTGTATCCATGCACTAGTCTACTAACCAAGCTTATTGTGTGATCGTCTATCTTGCATATCGGAGTAAGCAGAAAAGGATTCGAACCTGCAGCATATTGCTTAAAAGGTTGGGATTGACACCAGTTACCCACACCTCCACATAGAATTTGATGCATGCAAAGTGAGGTCTCACTTCAGCCTATAGCCAATCAATGTAAACACTGAAAGTTTTATTCATTCTATCCATTGCTTATCTGTCCCAGTCCTGTTATTGACCTCAGTTAGCGTTTCAGTCAGTTAACTGAACTGGGGGGTTTCTTCAGAAATCGGCAAGTTTTCTTCACTTATATGTAGACATCCACTAAAACATTGAAAATAAAGCCTTTTGTCTACAAAATGTAAATTGTTTTGTTAGTTTTTTCATGTTACACCATAACTTCACCTGACAATAACAGTTTGAGAGTGAGCTAATTAAAGTATAAAAGATTGTATGATGGGAAGTGTAAATATTTTAATAGCCTAATAATCTGTTGGATTGAGTTTTCAATTTAGGTAAATATTCAATCACTGCAGCATATCTTTGATAAGATGATGAACAGTGAACTCTGCTCAAAACACCACTTAACAAATAGCCTTGCACAGGTGTATGATGTATCAAATAACCAAGTGAATACAAAAAAGCATTTCACCATAGGTCCAAAGTTTTACACACTTCATTTGGCTAGCGAGGACTACTGTCTTAGGGCCACAACTGTTTGTGACAATCAGTTTGTAGTACATTTTTGTCCGCTTTCATAGTCATAAGGTATACAACATTGATGGTGTCAAGTAAATCATAATGTCTCATTCAAATATTTGTCAGAAGCATGCAAGCGGTTGATACTTTTTGACTGCTCACACCAATAAAGTAAGGCAATTTATTTTACGTAACTACGCAGCCCACGGGAAATCTGCTTGACACAAGTTAGACATTGCTCTCTGAGCATTTTTAGAGCAAGCTTCCATTCTTTTGAATTCAGCTAGAAAATACATACACCACCGGCAGCATCGGAAGACTACAGAGCGAGGAGAACCGGTCCCATTTTCGGGGTTAGCTTTTTCTACTCTAGCCGTTTTCCAGCTGCTTTTTCTTCCATGACTTTAATTTTAGAAGTCACTCCGCAGACCTAAGTAATGGTGAACAATAAGTACTAAGTCTAAACGAAATATTCACCGATTGATAGCAATGGAGGTGTCCACCATTAGGCTTAGTGGCGTGATACCGAGGTGCACTGGATCTTAATGTTACATGTTGGAAATCAGTTGGTGGGATGCCTTTTTCGCCCTTTATTTTATACTTTTCGGCATTCATCAGCATGATGTGTCCTTATTCTTGAAAAACATGGTGCCTCCTTGGTGATTTGAACCCGTGACACTCAGTGTGGAGTGTCACCAATGATCGCCTTACGGTTTCAAATGTCCCTCAGAATACGAAGCGTAGGCCAGACAGGGACTCCTGCAGATAGACTCCACAATTTAGCAGACCCGTTCCATACTGAGTCATCCCTGAAGGTGAAGTAGGAATATTAACTGTGGCGAGACTCGAACGATTACGCCTGGACTACATGTTGAAGTCAAGGACTCTGCCAGTAAGCTGCGACGACCACCACTGACCACTTGTAAAAGTGAATTGATGACCAGTGAAGAAATCGATATAGCTCTCTAGTTCTGAGGAGCTAAATGCTGATCCAAGTCTATAGACTACACAAAAAAAGTTCTTAGTATGAAGTAGACTTATGTTCCAAATGGCAGTGGCGTTATTAACTTTATAATCTGTCACTCTTAGCCTTCTCACTACTAGGCCCTACAACTCTTCCGTCAGTCAATCAAACTATATTTCTTTACGTATGTAGATAGGTATACACGCGTGTAATTATCCTTACCTTGGTCTTTTTCCCTTTATCCGCATTATTTTCTATCAGTAGATCAATACACTTGTGAAACCCTCTTCTTGAACATTCAATCAACGGACAATCATGACTCTTCATTGAAATATACAAAAAAACATTCAATAAAATATCTTACTTTAAACGGTAAACTGACAAGTGAATTCAATATTTTAAATGGTATGCATTGAACAGCAATTCACCCGTTAGTACTTCTTCGTGAACAAAATGCCAATCAACTTTTAGTTCACAAGCCTATTTTGGCTTTCTAATTGGTTGATTATTGACCAATGAAAATGAAGGTCATTTTTACACTGGATGCTCAGCTATACATATCGGTATTTTTCTTTTTTGCTGTGAGCTAACAGCAGAAAGCTCTGTCAAACGCAGGTTTCCTGCTCTTGGTACTTATTAGCACAAGGGAATGCATAGCCTCAAGTGAACTGATGTTACGCCTTGAATCAGAATCAGAATCACCTAGTTATGTGGTCACAGGGGGGGGCCCTGAAAGCTTCAGACATCTCTCTCTGCTGAATGCGTGAAAAATGTAGGTTAGGCAGAGCTGTTATTGCCTCTAACCACCTAACATCAATCTAGGTATTCAGCGATGGTGATTCTCTCAGCTTCCTGATCAGGTTGTGAAAAGATAGCAGAGGCCTGCTTAATTGAACTCTGAGCGACCAAAACATTTCCACTGAATATATTATATAAAATTCCTTCCATTCAATTTGTTTTAATCTTTAAGTATGTATTTTAAACGCATCATATACTATTGCACAGTTTAAAAATAGTTTTAAAATACTATTTTCCGGCTAACAACAAAACAAAGAATAAACAATACGTCGAAAAGAGATGAGTTTATGAATGCACAGAAATACAGCCTATTACCATGCCGAATTGCAGATTTCAGTACTGGTGGAATAAACTACCACCACCGGAATTACTCTCGATATTCTATTCATTCACCAGTTCAAACCAAATACTAATGTAATATCAAGTGCTTTTTACACATTATGGCTTCTATCACTGTAATTGTTAACATTATTCAAATGCAATGATTATTTCGCTTAAAGATATTGTACAAGGAACGAATTTGTTGAGAATTTCATACTGCACCATAAGTCTTGTTTGGAATAAAGCCACTGTTATTATTATTAGAATCTATCTATTCAAGACTTGTGACTAGATGATATGAGACTGATTGTTCTTCAATGATCACTCAATGGAAGCCTAACCCTATTAATAGTGATGATACATTGAACAGGTCGAATGATGAATTCCTCCTCTATGGTCCATAGGCTATTAAAGGATGACATTATTTCCGGAAATCACCGGAAGCTGGATAGTCGCTGGTCCGAATCCTGCAGCTGTCCGAATTTTCATTTCATCTTTTTTCATCACCCATTATGAATGTTAGTCTGCCAAACCAAGTCTGCTTTATTTAAATAGTCAAAACTGATGTTGTTATTGCTTGTATTATCCCGTTGTTGAGTGTACCGAATTGATCGATCTCTGTTGGTATATGGGGTCCTGCGTGGATGTCTCGAAATTGCCTGTTTGAATGATATCTTGATGATGGATAATAAGACACTTTATTATTCTCTAGAAAATACGAAAAATCGGAACATTCTGGAAAATACAGGTGGAAAATTTCCCGACATTAATACTTTTTGATGCATAGAACACGAACTTCCTGCAAATATAGGATGCTCCTTGTCTGATGAATAACAAACAGCAGGAGACCTCGATGAAACAGTACTTCGAAAGTCTTAAACGTGATTAATGTTCACATTTCCACATTTGATACAACCTATGGCGGGTCTTTGAAACCAGGAATGTTTATATTTCCTCTGTATCACTCAACGAAAGATTATAAATAAAAAGTGACTACTTCTAAGTAGGTAGAAATAAATAACTAAATTTTGGAACTGTTATGCAGCACAAAAGTTCTCTCTCGTTGAAAAACTTGAAACGTGACAATCACAGCCTCGGTCCCTCATGAAGTCATTGGTACAACTCATGAGAAATCCTAAACTAGGATAAAACTGCTGCTCACTTCTTCAAGGTCTTCTAGAATTCTCGGTTAATATCGCCATGCAACGTGAACCACTTTGAAATCAATTATCAGTTGAAAGGTGTACAAAGTCCTTGATCACAGTTCTTATTACAGTAATTATGCTAAGTAGCTGTCAAGAACGAGGCATCCTAAAGTCCACTTCGGCAAACTGCACACCATTTATTTCTACGTCAAGTAAACAATATTTTCCCAAGTTGAGAGTCCTTGAAATTCTAATCGAATGTATTCATAGTTCATACTCACAGCTCCTTGTGAAAATCAATCTCACTACTTTCAAAATATGTGGTAAGAATGTCAGGATAGAACCATTAGGTTTAGTACTGAATATTCCTATCCTCTTCAATTTCTGTCACTTTGTAATATTATAAAAGTACGGTTTTACTGAGTAACAGTGGGGTCAGAAAACTTTCAACTTCCTTCCAGTTGAAGCTTTAGGTGCACCGCTAACAGGAATTTCCCAGTCAAATTGTCACACAAAGTGATCAAAGAACCCATAGTTCCTTTGTTGATGTTATTTGGTAACATAGACTAACATCTAAGCAACATAGTTCGGTACAGAAGAGACACAATACAGCTTCGTAAACGACGGAGGCGCCATTCAGCTTCGTCGGTTATCTTAATGCACTTTCAAGTCTCGAGCATTAAAAAATATGACTGCAAGAGTTGGCTTTATTGCTCTAGTCCCCCAGGGGACAAGGCCTTGATGATTTAAGCAATGGGTATTGTGTTCGAGTTTCGGTGGGAATAGCGTCACAATGGGATGTACGTAAATTTAGCTGACGAGTCCCAAATAAGAAGAATTTTCCATCCTGCATCAAGCTCCTAGCCACCAAGATGAATGTATTTACAAATAAGTTTCCGAATAAAAGTGTTTCAGCTTACACTGGTTTCAATGTTTGGATTAGCACCAGACTCTAGCAGTAGTCGAACACAGTCCTGTTGGTTGTTTTCACAAGCCAAATGCAGAGCACTGTTACCCATTTCATCCTAAAACGAAATGTGTTTCCATAAGAAAAGGGAGTAATTGAAATCACCCAATAAATCAATATCAAACGTAAGGAAAAGGAAAACAAGGAAGAAATGTTTAACTGCTGTTTGGATTTATTATGAAGAAAGAGGAAAAGCCTAATTGATAATTTAAGCATAGGTTCCTGCTAAATGATTCCTAGCAGCTAACATTAGAGTACAGTGAACGATGTCACAGTATTCATCTAAGCTGATCGTATTGAAAATTTGATTGGTCCACTTCAATATGTGCTGAGCACTGAGGAATCGATTACTACAACAGTTACCATTCGGTGACAAAATTGGGAAAATATGAGACCACCACAACTTTTTCCTTACTTTTTTACTTACTTTATTACTAAATTGTAACTTATAGTCCTGTTCTACTGTATAAGATAAATGAATTCCTTAGCGGCTAGCTATCACAGCCATCAAACAACTTCAGTTTACCTACTCACTCGTAAACTATCTCAATGTTTTCGAACGTTTGCTATGTATGTAAATATTCTGATCCCCTATTTGAAATGAAATGTATTGCTGAAGAAAGGCAATATTTATTTCAGTAGATGACTTCAAATTCATGTGTAGAACAAAATTTCACTAACAATTTTGTGGATCTGACTCGAATCTTGAAGTGTTCACGTGTTCTTAAGGTATTATTGGTTGAAGTCGTTGATATCCATTCCTAAATATCTTATACCCTCATTAGACATGTTTTAAAGTTTGTATAAACTATAACCATGAAATTAAAAAACTTTTTATATGACCAATTACCAGCAGAGAGAAGATTCTATTTTTTGATAGATAATAAATTCACACTACTGACAACCGTTTTAAGTAGTAAGTAAAGTGTTTAATAATTTTCACGAGCCATTTGAACGAGAACACCCTAATTTATTGGTCCAGAAACCTTAGAAGTATATGTTTTCCTCTTGATATATTAACTTCAGTGTTATTCCAATGTAAAATCGATGAGAGTGTCAGGTTATTTCTTGCTAGGTCTATAAACATAAGAAGAGGAACATGTTTAGCGTAACCTTCTGTCATTTGAATCTCTTCAGTGGTCTGTTATTACTTCACTTTCAGTTATTTTTGACAAAAATGACACCAGTTAACTTACCAAATCGTCAATTATGTCTTTTAATTCTGTCAAAGATAATAAATGTGCCAACGAATCTATATGACCATTTTTTGACGCTAAATGAAGTGCATTTCTCCCATGCTGAAAAACAAGAGAGGTGTGATAAAGATAAGAAACGTAAAGCTACTAACTACTTTTCTTGTCACACGTCTCATTTAATACCGGGGTATAATTATTTTCATCATATGTTGTTTATTGGTACTTGCCATTCCCCGCCGCTATACCTGGTCGAATCGGTCGACATTGTTGGTAGAAGGACTCCTTATATGGACACCTGGATAAGTACACTGATGTTCTTTATGTTGTAGTTTAATTGGATTTCGTCGTATTTACTATTCATCAGCTGAATGAAACTACACCCCAGTGTGGGATGACGCCTCTACTGAGATTCGAACCAAGCACCTATCACTTACCCACTACGCCACTGAGATATGGAATGCGCCACTTGAATAAAGGTCTTTAGATTTTATTTATTGATACTTGTAGTTTTCATGTGCCAACAGATCCCGAGCAATTCGACTCAGTACACCAACGGATAATTAAAAGTATTAATAAATAACAACTGGTACCCATTGTCCAAAAGATGGCCGTCGTTCCTCATCGGCCTTGTGTAAGGCACCTTGGCGTTTGGAGCAATCAGTATTCGGTTCGATTTTCAGTGAGAACAGTATCATTCACCAGGGTGCATATGTGACCGGTTGACGAGTCGCAAACAGGTAGAAACATACGTGTTCCATTCCAAGTGGTTAGCCAACAAGTGGAATACAATTCTTATTCCAGTGTTTTTTACGAATCGGCCACAGATCAGTAATCGATTATGTTTGCTATGCATACACAAAGTTAAGTGGTGTACGGCATATTAAGTGGTAGATAGCTGAAAGAAAGATTGTCAAGGATCCATATTCGACCTGGTTTATCTATTATTTGACAAGAGATGTACCGTATACTTGAATCTTCACCAATCATTACTGTAGTTTATCTCTTTTTTGGAAATCTACAGCTGCTAGAAGATAGTCAAATTGCTCATGTATCATACGGCTATCGATTCCTTCTTAGTTGCATTCAATAATATAAACAAAGTCAATTAGAAAAATTGACTATTTTATGTGTTAATGTTGAAGTAGGTAGTAACTGACTGTCTGTCTGCTGACCTCCTAAGCGCCTTCCATCTTATTGGTGTCTATCATTCTACACTTGGCTAAATTCCTGTGTTCCGATAATCTAACTGACGACAATCGGCTAGTTTGACTTATCTACTTAACCTAATAGTCATTACATGAAATTCGATAGATTAGATTATTCGATTGGATCTTCAAACCGACAAAGTTTATCTCTGAGTGAGTTTGTAGGTTTAAATGACACCCTAATTCCAGCTTTACTAAGGATTCTACATCATCATATAACTTTTATTATTTCGTTGCTTATATGTTCGTATGAATTTCTAAATCAACTGTAGAGAAAAATTGTTAACTATTAGTGCTTCTTTTAATTGTTTCAATTCCGTGTTTAAGTCCTCCTATTGACTAGTGAGTTTTCTAGCTCGGTCATTTAGACATTTGACTGAACTCGCCTTAATTGATATTGAATGAAATAACCTAAAATATAGATGCCTGTCAGAATGTGTCGGTTTCCTGTAGACAGTAGTATCCAAACTACCGTCTGTCCTTCATTCTATCCTGCAATCCAACACTCGTTTATTTTCTACCTCTGAAAAAAGTGAATTGGATTGCATTCACTACTGAGTTTATTTGTGTGAAGAAACTGTCTATATTGTTACAGTTTCATTGCATTAAATACCATCATATCTTAGATGCAGGATTAAACGGTTTTTCCCAACTATGCTTAAGTATATCTCCCACGAATGGGGATATTGGTGATTCTATTGATACTACTTCTGTTTGTCAGCGAGGTCAAGTATATAGGTGAAACTAACCGATCGGTGTCAGGTAGACTACGCGAACATAGGAATGTAGCCAAGTGTAGAATGACAGACACCAATAGGTTCAATAATCCGGAAAAAACACTCAGTCTTTGCAACGCACGCATTAACATATAACCGTACAATAGGGGGAATGAAACCACCTTACTTCAGTCCAACATAATTAGTTAAGTAGGTAGGTAGGTAGGTAGGTAGGTAGGTAGGTAGGTAGGTAGGTAGGTAGGTAGGTAGGTAGGTAGGTAGGTAGGTAGGTAGGTAGGTAGGTAGGTAGGTAGGTAGGTAGGTAGGTAGGTAGGTAGGTAGGTTGGTAGGTACGTAGGTAGAGATTACTGGATTATTGTTCTTCCATACCAGAGATATAGAAAATTTTAATATCGATTAAAACAAAGAATATGAGGTGGATGACAAGACTATCGAAATCAGATGTCGAAGGTAGTGTGATTATAAAAACCGGTTTGTGCTCGTAATAGTGTTTAACTCATTGTACGCTGCCTATATAAAAAAATGAAATCAATATGGAGTAAGCATTACTTGAGTGATAATTTGCCTACAGTGTCTATTTTGTGTGAGATTGCATGTCAGTATTCGTTTCGACCATGGATTTATTGTCCAGTTCACTTTTATATACATTGAACGTGTATGTTATGTTCTCATATATATATATATATATATATATATATAAGCGTGTAAGATACGCTTCTAGTGTGGTAGTGACTGTATTTAAGAAGCATTTAGGTATTTAGTAATCATTTTATGTGTATGCACAGTGCAGATTGCCTAGCATGACATGCAAGTAACCAGATAGGGCGGAATGTATTCGTCGACTACAACAAGAATTTCAACTCACAGCGTGTTCCAGAAAAGGGTGACCGAGGTGATGGCACAGAAATAATCTGCATGATTTGTGATTGAGTTGCTTGTGACATTTCTGCAGATCAAAGCTTCCTGTTTCGCTGTCCTTTCGAAGCTGTGGTCGATATTTGATAGGAGTGGTACAAAAATTATGTGCTTCAACTTCTTTCATCTACTTCTATGCCTTTCTTAAGGTGTTTTACAACTTCTGATAGCCCAATGTTTGCGTCTTTAACTCTTTTTAGATGTGTTGATATGAAATGTAGCAACAGTCCTGATAAGATGATTGTTCTCAGAATCTTAGCTTGGATACAGAAGAGTCATTTGGCATTTGCAAATTCGCGACGTCGGTATCACCGAGATATGCAACTAAATATCGAAGGACGAGTACACCACGCTGCAGTTTGTTCTGCTTTGTCGTATGGTTGTGAGACATGACCGTTTACAGTAAAAAGCATGAAACAGTTACAGAATTTTGGATCATAGATGTGTTCGTGGCCTTTCTTGCGTTTCATCGAATCACCGCTGGCGAAGAGTATTCAAAGGGTACTAGGCAATGAAGGCAAGTCGACTAATGAAGCTGTGAACTTCAGTTGATTAAGATAAGTTGCACATGTACTATGCATATCAGGCCACTGCCTGCTTTGACTCGCCATACTGGAGGAAGTTGGATTAGGTGGGAGGAGGACTCATGGTGGTCAGACCAAGATGTGACACTAGTCAATGAAGTCGCAGATAGCTTGTCTGAACCGTATGGGATGATGTAGAGTTGCTACCTGGCTGTGGTTGCTGAGACGATAGGAATCAGTGACTGTGGGACGTTGGTGAGATGGTTGAAAATCGATCGTACTGGCACGGCTGTATTCACTCCTTGACATCATTTAACGCTTGAATGTTCACATTAACTCTTGTCTTCAAAATGTTTGTTCTCTCACACAACTTTGTCTTCTTTAAAAGCCAGCATTCATGTATCCGTTTGTTTTTCGCATACTACCGTGAAGTGTGATAACTTGACTCAAGATACCTGTGTGTGAGGTTCTACTTTGGTTTTTTCTGTTTGTTTTTATGACTTGAACCGTTTAACACTATACCAGGTTCTTTATTGCTTGTTTTGTCCACCACTTATCCAATACGTCTCACGCACTGCCAAAAAGTAGCTGTAAAACTAAGCATAGTGTCTTGTTGGACATCATGGTGGACACCCAAGACTTGTTGCGTAGACTGCAAGCTAAGACTTTAGATGGATAGATGCCTTTCTTGGATAGAAAAACCCATCCACATGTAGTTTTATGACGGGGATGTTACCGCGGACGTAAGGAGAATTCTGGGATGAATGGGCTGTTAGAATGACACGCATCCTTATTTTAGTTAGGTAAAAGCTCAAGATTATTTCTTTTATTTTGAGTCTGTAAGCCACAAACCCTGTGCTGTCGCCCAGCGCCTTATTCACTTGTTATCCGCTTAATCCACAAAGTCAGTGACATTGCTTATAGCCACACTTGCAATTTAAACAATTTTGCAGCCATGTTCACCTTCCTATAATGGGCTACACCAGAATTGAGTGTTAATGAACCCCAGTTTGAGTTCATTTAGTTACGAATTAACGAATGAACCACCAACCTAATGATTGTCAGCTTCACTCAGGATTAGAAAACATGGAATTGTTTGTTATCCTGTGACCACTCCAATGGATGTAACCCAGTTCTACAGGAGATCGATCGCTATTTGAACAGCTCAGTGGATAAAATGGGTTTGAATCTCAGGCGGGCCATCAGTTCCACTGAGGTTGCATATACGCCTTGTTGACGAGTGCCAAAAGCACAAAACCTAGGTTCAAGGCTTCCTACCGATTGTCTCCAACCAACTAACAACTATTCAGAGTTCATTGATACGAAAATGTTTAATCACATCAACTGTATTCCAGCCTATCCTTGATCCTGCCTAGATATCAACTCACTGTTAGCAAATGGATGATTTTTGTTCAATAAAACATCAATGAGACAGTGAAGTAATATTTGTCAAATAACAACTAAAAAACAATAAATTAACTTATAATTTATGAAAATTATCAAGAAATACCTATTCAATAGGCTTTTTTTTAGCATTGTTGAAAAAGAAATCAATTTTATTTATTTATTAATCAGTCAATCAATCAATCAGTGAATAGGTGAATGAAATAACCTGAATTTTATATGGTATGCAGTTGATGTTATCATTCAAGGTCAATTTGATAAAAATGTAAAGGTATTTTGTTTACAATTTTCTTAACATCATTAATAGTTCTAAATCGTAGTCAATTTAAATGTAATTAACATTGGGTCAATATTGTATTATTTTTCTTTGAAAAAACACGTTTAATTTGCTATTGCCATAAGAGCATTTATCTAAGGTTCCATATTACCGATTTCCCGTTTACCTAAAACTGTTCAGACCCATGCGACATCACTCACTAACGTTTCCACATCTTCGCAGATTGACTGCAGTATACCTTCCAAAAAAGACTCTTCTAGTAGGTTTCACGTATGAATATATTATGTCCACAGGTTAACAGCAGTGGCTCCCTTCGGGTTGTTGAGATACAGCCTAGGTTAGACCTGAGGACGCCGGAATTTCAGACTGAATATCTCTTACCTCAACTCTGGCGGTTGCTTCAGCAATGATGGCCATCAGAATTAGGAATCTGGATTCAACTTGTCCTTCGGTTGCATAGTTCCCAGCGCACTGGACAGAATCTTGATGGCCTACAAAACTGTCCGTGCTTCGAAGATGTGTACCACTCACAATGCTTGTATGCATCCCTTTGACCGTGGTTTTCACTAGGTCAAGCTGACAGTGTACTGAATGATATCCAGCCGGGTCCTGAGAAGGCTCATAACCGTACACTCTGAGCTCCACCCATAATCTTCGGTACACGAAATATGGTAAGCTTTCACCAGTTAGAAACATAAACCCAGCACCACTTGATGGTGCCATGTAGAGCTTCCTCAAGTTGATCCCTTGGTACATTAATGTGGAGTGGATCTAAATCGTCTTAAAATTCATAGTTACCCACCCCCCCTTCGGTCACAAGTGTACTGTAATGAGACAACGGTGTGCAACAGCTGCAAACAACTGTGAGTGAAGTCACCCATGGTTCGATTCCTATCTTGACGGAATATAAAATTCCTTCAAAATGGGATATTTTTATTGTTCCGATATCAGATGGCTGGAGGCAATCGTGAAGAAGCCCTGTTTAGCCTGGATTCCGTGCTTGTTAGCACAAGTCAGCGTGGAGCAGATACACCCTTGAAGTGTGTCATTCAATTCTGTAGTCAGAGATGTTACTACCGAGCTGTGATGGATAGTATTCACTCAGAACTATATACTGAGTAACATGAAATCGATCACTTTAAATGTAATTAATCCAAAACTACAGAAGATCAGCTGCGCATTCAAACACCTCAGTGATAACGTCTCTGACTGCAACACTGAGCGACGCGGGTTTAAATTTCTCATAAAGCATCAGTTCTCCCGAAGATGAAAATACGTCCTGTAGAAAAATAGGGTCTTGTAGCTCAGTTGATAGAGTACCGGGCCGGAAACCCGGTGGTTGCTGGTTCCAATCCGGCCATGGTTCAAATTTTCATTTCACCCTCAATCATCACCCATTATCAAATGATAATGAACGTGATAAATAGATCGTATAGGGATTTCTATCGATTACCTACAGACATACAATTCTTGTATCACTCGAATCCATCACAACTGCCTTAAGTGAAAATGTGATTGGCTGAACTCTTAGAATTTGTTTGGGGAATTGACATTTGGGCTTTGTACTTCAACATATTTTCGTCAGCTTGGGCAAATTCAATTCAAGTGAAATTTTAGGCCGAGTTTAAACTAGAAAAACTGGTCAATAAAAATAACGGGAACTCTCTTCAAATCACCTCAGGGGTGATATATAAACGATCAATTCAAATTCACTTCTGGTAAACTCATCTTCAGGTTGAAATTGACCAACTAGTTACATCTTAGTTTACGTGGGGTTAATTTTCATGCCAGAAAACTCTGTTGACATCACAGTTACGTGGAGTGAGAAATCTCAACGAGAACCGTGCAATTTGCGTGAATCATTTGCAAACAGTTTATTCTATTTTAGGTATATTAGTCACAAAGTTAGATTCAGGCGATCCAGGCACACCGTTGGTGAGCTCGAGTTTAAACAAGTGAAACGTCCATCTGGTGTTTAAACGACTCTGATCTGTCTGTATGATGAATCTATAAATCTGCATGAATGGTTTCAAACTACTTAATTTAATCAACAGTAGTAAGTGAGGTGAGATTAATTTTCACACGTGAAAACTGGGAATCACCCTCCAAGTGACTTTAAATAAGCTCAGCGAATAATCTTACGAAAACGCTTACATAGAATAGGTTTGAGCTGAAGGCAGGCACCAGTTGATCAAACAACTATCATGCATCTTACTGTTTTATACTTCCAAATGCCCACTGCTATACAGGGTCAAATTACTCGACTTATGTTGGTAGATGGGCTGCTACACATATGTTCCGATACTGCTGGATATTCATGTTAATGTATCTATTTTGATGACTACTAGTGGAATTTAGGACGTGCGTTTCGTTCTATTCAGGGATCATCAGAGGGATGTACCCACCCCTAGAGAATGATGTTGTTCTTATTACGACTCGAACCCAGTACCCATTACTCCAAAGGCCAAGGCGTTACTCAATAGGCCACTGAAACACACCAGTCACCCCATGTATAATGGCCATCATCTGTTGTTCTTTGTTTTGCTTTACTTTGCTTCTAAGTAACCATAAGGTGGCTCAGCATGCAGATGTTCAGACCAATACTGTCATGAGGTTTTCATACACTGATGATACAATGTAGTATGACATTGAAATGTCAGCTGAGCGAACAATTAATGCCAAATAATATGAAGTTTCCCCATGAAAAAGTGGATGACTATTTTAAATTTAAAAGCCCCGCCACACCTTGGATTCCAAAAGATGTTTTAGGATTGGAGAGTCTATATTGATTGGTTGCCCTCCAGTGACAATCAGTGTATCTAATCCAGTCCTGCAAGAGGTCGGTCGTAGCCCGAACTGCTCAGTGGTAACTCAGATGACTACACCACTAAGTGACATATGTCTAAATCTCAGGCGGGACATTACATGTCTCAAGTTTGTAAGTAATTCTTGCTAACGAGTGCCAACTAGCATGAAACGTAGGTCAAGAAGGGCTTGTCTTCTGTTAATTGCATTCAACCAACCAACTAACATCTATCAAGATGCACCGCATTGGGATCCAATTAACTTGTTTTTAAGGTAAAAATATCGTGCATTAGTTTAGACAGAGTTTCAGAATCTACACTGATAAGCTTAAAATGACGTTGACATTGACGCTCAGCCTTTCAGACAGATTCTAACAAGTGAAAAAATGCGATGCAACTTTTTGCCTATGAAGGTAACCGCTGGACGTTGAAACATCTCAAAGTTTCACTAAGAATACAGTGAAAAGTGAGTTTTCTGACCGACACACTGATGTGGTCATGAATAAAGTATGGAATTGGTTGAATCCCACTAAATGATCCTTCATTGAACACTTGATAGTCAGTCTGTTTTTTTGGAATTATCCTGATAGCATTAAACCCCTGAAACCATAGAGAAATCGACACTTCTAAGTGTTTTTAAACTACCTAGTCTATCTAGAATATCCCCTATTGACTAGGTGAACTACTGATTTGGTGAAGTTGTTACAGTTACGCTTTCAAACGTGACTGCCTTGAATAGTCTCCATTTAAGCAACCTTGTTCAAGACTCAATAACTGTTCAGATGTTTCTGTTTCACTTCACTGTTTCCACAATATGCCTGAATATCATGAGGATGAGAAGTATCTCTAATCTACCTTGTCAATCAGGTCTTGATGTCTCCATCAAGAGGGCCTATTGCTTTTTGAACGTTGGACTCCATCTTGATACTTATGATGTACAGGGGTTGAATTTCAAGCGTCTAAAGATCCACATAACCAAAAAAGCAGAAAATCACTTAACCATCTCATTAAAGAAACTGAAAACTGACGAGCAGCACGATTCCACAGATGAAGTGTCCGTAAAACAAACACACGAACTTGAGATGCCTCTTCGCTCTATCCTAGACATGATCAAGTCACCTGACCACGTTATCATTGACCGGCTAATACAATTACTTCAACCTTTACATGACCAGTTAGCATAAAAAAATCTTTTAGTTTGTAGACAAAGTGAAAACTCGGATGTATAACATTTGGGGATTTGCGGGGATTTAGTGATTGTTCAAGTTAGTATTTATTTATCATTGGCTGACATCAGTCAGAGGAACATTGGAAACCTGGGAGAACTGGACACCTGTTCCTTGCAACTAGTATAGGACTTCTTAACAGTGCGAACCCACGACTCCACCAGGGATAGAACTCGTGACCTTCAGCTTCCGTGGCCAGAAAAATTGGAAACCTGGGAGCACTGAAAAGTTGTTTCCTCTTAGTATGGAAGTCCTTAGCAATACGCACCCATAACGCCGTCTCACCAGGGATCAAGCCTAGCACCTTCAGGTTCCGTAGCCATCACGTTATCATTGAGCCACTGGGTCAGAATCCAATGGTCCATATTTCCAACATCTGTCAGTTCATGACATGGCGCAATCATCACCTGAAAGCCATGAGGATTAACGATGACATTAGGTGGTGGTCACGCAACGAATTGAACTGACAGAAGTTAGAAATGTAGACCACTGGGCTTCCATGGGCGGCGGCACTTGAAGGTCCTGGGCTCGACCCCTAGCGGGGTCATAGTGCACACTGCTAAGAAGTCCCATACTAGGAAAAGACAGCTATCCAGCACTCGTAGGTTTCTAATGTTCCTCCAACTAATATCAGTTCATGATGAATACCAGGTTTAAATGTATTTTAAAATAACCCATAGGATCATTCGATGCGAGATCTTTATTCACTGGCATCTCTCTAAAGAAAACCGTGGATTACATCTGTCAACAATTACTAAGCAGGGAACTAGACACTGTTACTCCTGCTGTGAATTTGAAGGGACTACTGCCAAAATGCACAATGAATTTCAAGTTCATCTTCAACAGTTTTCTGTACAGACAAGTTGAAAAAGTGGCTAAGGGATCACTTTTGGACCAAGTATGTTCAGACAAGTTTCTACCGAAATTAGAAAATCGTCCTTTTGAAAGGTCGACTTGTACTTTTAGCATATGGATGATATTCTTTTAGTCTTTGATGAGTGCCTGTGTATTAATTTCATTGCGAACCACTTCAACCGCTTTCAACCATCATGAAAATGAAATCAGTGAGTCGATACGAATACTTGGTGTGGTTATAATAAGAACAGATTCTTGTATGCTGAGAAGTAGATACAGAAAGTTGGCTTCTAAGACACAGTATATGCACTTCCTCAACTTCTTGCAGATGAAGTATAAACGTAATGGAATCAGGTGCCTGCCGTTTACAGTAAGTTTGATTTGTTTCGAGGAGTGTGTGAGGAGGAAACTACTGTGTATACGTGATATTCTGGATGAAAATTTCATCAAATATTTGAAGCCCCCCAGTATAACAGGGATTACTTGCACACCTCAATGATAAGTATCTCAACCACTTGGTCCTGTCTGTATTCACATGAAATAGTGTCTTCTACAAACTAGTTCAAAAGAGGGGGAGTGTTATCTCACCTTTCCCTGCCTTCCTCCTAAATACAGTTCGTGTGTTGACACAGTCCTGTGCAAGCGTATTTCCAGAAGCTGTTTTCCTGACCTGACCTTTGGTCTTAACTATTATCAAGGAATTGACTTGTGGAACAATAAATCTAGAGGGTCGATTTGTCGCATGAAGTGTATCGAAAAAGAACTAATGTGTTTCCTGAATATTCTGAGGGGAAACGGATTCCCAGAAAATTTCGTCAAAGTTAACACCACTTACAGTAAGAATTGATGACAGTGAAGAATAAGCCTCTAGTCCCCGGTTACAATTCAGGGGACATGCTCCAAGTGACATCCTGTCACTATGCCTAGCTACAGCAGTCAATAGAGCACTCTATACAGGTCGTTTGTGCATCTGTTGCAGCAGTCGGTCAATACTCAATCCGAAACTTAAAGATACTCCACCTAATCTTGGCTCTATATTTTGCATATATCAGTTTAACTGTTCCTATGGAACGAATTGCATATGGCGTATGATTAGACAGATGCTTCTCAGGACACGAGAGTATTACCGACCTGCTTTGGAGAGGTGAAGTGGTAGTGGTGAAAAGTTCCATCGTGGTGCACCTTGTTGGCGTAGGGCATTATATAGATGAGCCAATGAAGCTTTTAAAATCATATATAATATTCCAAGAACAATGGCATGTGTAGCTTGCTAACACCTGCTCAACATAGCTCAGTCTGTCACCATAAGGTTGATCAAACCTGAACTATGCATTCAGAAGGAACATGTTCAAACGTTATTCCTCCTTCAGTGAACCAAACACCATTGCTATCTGCTTTATTCATTGTCTTTTCATCTATCGCCACATTCTTCATGTGTCATCTAATTATTGGTAAACTTGAAACAGAGAAATCGATGTGCTTACAGTCCTTAAATCTCACATCATTTTGATAATGTAATCGCCCTTTAATTTGGCTTGATTTGACACTGTACAAATGCATTTTGCAATTATAGAACCTTATGAGAATTTATTAAGAGGAATGTTCTTCGTTTACACTTTTCCCCATGCAAGAAAGTAATACTGAAAGCCTCTAAAATTACTCTCAGGTTCCATAGAATTTACTGAAAAGGATATTCATCACTTGGATGTACCTACATCTCAGTGAACGATGGTGTTGTCACTGGGATTTCGATCCAGAACCTACAGCTGGTATCACCGAAGAGTTATTTGCTGTGCTGATGAGTGACAATTGTCACTTATTGATGGAACAGGTTCATCAGTACCAAAATATTGAGGCATTCGCCCAGCAACTCATATGTCAAGAATGATCGATCCAATCTACAACTAGAAACGACAGACTGTCGTTTGCCTAGAGTTCATCGACCCGAATTCTTCAATGGCCAGTACTCTAGATTAGCATCATTATCCCAAATTAAAAATGTGCTAGTTTGGGGTTTCTAGGGATTTACTTATTTCAAGGTAATATAATGAATAGTGGCTTGCAGGCGAATCAAGAAAGTGAGTTTTGTCTCCGTAGGGGCTCATCAGTTGGATGCAACAACATGTATCAAACGATATTTTCTTAAATGAAGTGATTAATGCTATTACCGCTGTTATTATTATAATCCTAAACATTGACTTCCAATCGTTTCATACACTCTTACCCTATCACAATCGATAATGGATAACATTTGTGTAGTTTGAGGTTAATGGGGATTTTATTTGTTTGAAGGCAGTAATCCTCACGGACTGATATCACTTGCAGAACCCTTGAAACACCCTGTAGCACAATTGTGAGACTCCTCAGCAGCGTGCAACCACAACAATGTCAGCCTTTTTGACTTGAGTCATTTTAAAAAGGATTATAACAAATGTTGATGCCGACACTAATGGCATATTATCACTCATATGTTGAATCACTTCACCAACTCGATGAACTCATCAGTAGGGTTCAGTGTTGAATTAATTTAAGTACTGCTGTTAGTAATAACTCAGTAACCTTAGTGGTGAGGTCCTTAAGGGCACCGATGAATGACATAGGTTACAAATTCCTTAACAGCGTTCATTTCTCATCCTGTATAAAAGTGTACTCTTTCCAATTTATTATAATTATTATTATTAGTCCCTTGGGTTCCTAATGGAACATACGGCTTCAATAGCACGTCTCCAGTGAAATCTGTTCTCTGAAATCTTTTGAACCTGGTTCCACGTCAGCCCACAAGCTCCCATTTCCTCCTCGCACCATCTCCTCCACGTCACCCTCACCTCGGACGTCCAACTCATCGCTCCCCATGGGGATTCCACTCAAGTGACTGACCTGACGCATGATGTCCCCAGTCGGCCTTCTCAGTGTATGCCCAATCCATCTCCACTTCCTTCCACTGCATACTTCTTGGGTGATAGGTTCTTGGTTGGTTCGTTGCCAGCCAGCCACAGTTCCTTGTTGCTTATTCTTTCTGGCAATCCATCTGATCTTGAGTAACGAGCCAGCGTAAGCAGTTGTTGGTGAATGTCTGTAGTTTATTGGAAATCCCTTTCGTAACGCTCCAAGTCTCTGAACCATCACACAGAAGCACTGACTTGACTAGGTTGGTGTTGAAAATCTGGATCTTGTTCCGCATGTTGAGTGTAGAAGATCTCCACACTGGTTTCAGGCTACTGAACGTCTGTCTTGCTTTGCCGATTCCGGCTGGCTTCGACATCCTCGTCTGTGCCTGTGCCGCCTGTAGTTGAAACAGTGCTTCCCTGGTAGGTGAAGGAGGTTACTTCCTTTAAGTTTCTCGCATTGATGGTGATTGGAGTTTGTTGTTGTTGTTGGAGTTGTTGGTGCGGTATCTTCATCACTTCTGTCTTCTCTATATTCAATTGAAGTCCCGTCTTCGCTGCCCTCCCTGCCTCTTCTGTCAACTTGTTAGTTTTCACCTGTAGATCTTCAAGTTTGTGTGACAAGGCATCAGACACAAGTCATCGTTGGCGAAATCCAGATCTTCTAGGTTCTTTTCCGCAGTCCAGCCAGCGTATCCCCCTCTTATCGCTCCCCACTGTTTGTTGCATGATCCAGTCGACCACAATCAGGAATATCATGGGGATAGTAGGCAACCTTGTTTCACTCCTGTCTTCACTCCACCTCAAAAGCATCACTGAGCTTCCCATTGTGAATTACCTGGCATGTGGCGTCTTCATATAGTTGTTGAATGAGGCTGATAAAGGTTTGCGGCATTCCGTAATATTGAAGCACTCTCCAAATTACCTTTCGGTCGACACTGTCAAAGGCCTTCTCAAAGTGGATGAAGTTGAGGTTGAGTCGAGTTGACTGCCATTCTATACTCTGTTCTATGATGATGCGTAGTGTTGCGTTGCAATTTGGTCGGCACATGATTTGTACTTCCTGAATTCAGCCTACCTGTTCCGGTCGTAGTTTTGAATCCAGTGAATCAGGTGAATCCAATGAATTAGGTAAACACAAATGGTAGGTCAGAAACGACCTGTGCATACAACATAAAAATATAAACAAACAAATAAAGAGCATGCATTGTATGCATTTCACCTCATGTAATGAATGAATACTCTACAAAAGTATTTTACAGCTAGTTTTATGACTAAATGACCACCATTTGTTTAATTAGGGTGTTTTGGGGAACCAAGGGGAAACAAATGGTTTTTCTTCCAGGATTGAAATCAGTCAAGTAATCGTTGAAAATCTGGAACCGGTGAACATTTGTTTTGATCCTAGTTTAAAACTTCTCTGCAGTACCCACCCGAGACCTCTTGAAGGCTCGGACTTGGCACCATCACAGTACTAATCAGTAACTTAGTAGGAAATAACTAGTTCACACTTTTCAACTTCTGTTAATTCATGACGGTCATTGGTTTGATTCCTGTACGAGTCAAAGCTGCTTACTTCTAAGCATCCTCAAACTAGGACTATACAGCTATCTAGTGTTCGTAAGTATTAAAAGGTTCAGGGAAAGATGTCTGTTCTCTTTGAAATCACCATTTTCTAAACTGAATGATTTTGTTGAGCACTTATGATTCGATGTGTGTTGTGGCTTTCCTATTCACGTGTATGAACGTATGAGTTTTATTGAATTTTGAGGGAATTGTGGGGATTTGGAAATATTTCAAGTTGTTATTCATCGTAGGAGGAACAAAGGAAACCTGGGAGCACTCGACAACTGTTTCGTCCTAGTATGGGACTGAGGAGTGGGTGGCGGTTGCACTATATCGTGAGCTAACAGAAGTTGGAAATATGGACCACTGGGTTCTGACCCAGTGGCTCAATGATAACGTGCTGGCCACGGGACATGAATGTCGCGGGCTCGACCCCTGGCGGGGTCGCGGGTGCGCACCGCTGAGGAGTCCCATACTAGGACGGAACAGATGTCCAGTGCCCCCAGGTTCCATTTGTTCCTCCAACTGACGTTAGTCTACGACGAATAAAAACTTGAAGTATGAATCTTAATCTGAAAAGAAACTATATGTTAGTTATATAAAAGCGTTTCCGATAGAATAGCAGAATCCTATCCTCTTACAGCACTCCTAGATGACCTTGAAACAACCAACCAAAGTGAATTTAAAAGTGCCATCTTTCTAAGCGTACTTTGATTTCGGGAATGATGGAACTCACCGTGAAAGGCACCTCAATAATTCTGATTGTAAAAAAGGGTGGAACAGTCGACACATGGAGAATTTTGGCATTACACTTTATACTGGCTGGAATCAGAAATGCGTTGTTTGTTCAAGCAAAGTCTAATCTATTGAGAAAGAAAATTATTTTGGGCAAATCTGTGTAAGTAGACATGACGCAGAAGCGAGTATGTGTTGGTATGAACACTGTAGACGTGTTTGGTGGCAGACAATGTGAAAACTGAAGGTTGTTTTTAGCGATTTCGATCTCAAAGTCAAGATTGATGAAACTTTGATCAAGATAAAAAAGTATAATAATCGTGCAGAAAATGTGAAGAAAGAATGGTTAAAATAATCATTGTCTAGCAATTCAGAGTTTTAGGACTTTAAGATAGGAATGTAGGGAAGGGACAGTTTTAAAAAAGATAGGCGGCTGAAAATCATGTTTAAAGACATGCTCTCAAGGGCAATTATCTGTACTGGTTACAGGAAGGCTTATTGATGTTTATGAAGAGACAACTAGCAACCCTACCCCGTAAAACCAATCCAACTGCTACGGAAACTTCAAAGCACAAAGAGGATATAAAAAATAAAAACAAAACTATTCCTCGCTGGAATCGGAGACTGGAAGTGACGCCGGTTGGTGAAAGCTTTGGGGAAGCCAATTGACCGATATATCTTCGCTTCTCTCGATGAAAGCAAAGGTAAACATGGGGACATGGAATATCCTCACTATGTTTGAACCCAGCAAGGCAGCCCAGATTGCAAACGAGATGAGAAGGTATCACACTGAAGTGTTAGGAATTTGTGAAAGCAGATGAGAATGGAGGTGGACTGTCCAAACTTTCAGCTGGAGAGTCAATAATCTACTCCGATATTGCCACCCAGATGATTACCACGAGAACACTGAGTTTTGGAGTGGCTATCATGATGTCCCCTTGGAGAGCATCGACGGCCGTCACACAGTGGGAACCAGTCTCCTCCAGGATCATAACTGCAAGGTTCAACTCAAAAGGAAGTCACTGAGAAGACCATTCAGAAACATCACGCATCAGGCACTCGAGTGGAACCCAGACAGGAAACAACGAGTTGGGCGTTGGAGGTGAGGGTGACATGGAGGGGATGGTGTGAGGAAGAAATGAGAGGTTCTGGGCTGTCGTGGAGCCAGCTCCAAAAGTTTGCAGAGAAGAGAGTGGAATGTAGACGTGCCACTAAAGCTCTGTGTTCCACTAGGAACCCAAGGGACAAATAACAATACCTTTTACTGGCTTGGGTAAAAGCATTGCTAATGCGTTGTGAAGTTGGTTGAAGACCTACTTACGTGTTTATCACAGAATTGGCGGTGTAATCTTATGGTATGGTGTGGAAAACTTTGTTTATAATAAATACTTCAACCTATGGCGTCAAGAGTGTGTCCATAATCTTCAAAGGTTCCTACCTTCGTTCCTTCGTTCTCATCTATTCAGTGAGTAATAATAGTCGCCTCATGTCATCCTGTAAAATGCTTCAGTTGGGTCAAATTAGGGGTAATCCTCTCATGGGCTGTATTCATATTGTTTTCTGTATACTGAGTGTCAGAAAACAGAGTAAATGCTTTCGATGTGTGTAAGAAATCACAGTTCGTAGAAATTTTATCAATCCATCATAACTTAACTAACTGCTGAAATTCATGTGATGTAAAAAACCTTTCTCTTATCTATTAAATTTAAGATTTTTCCCCCATAAAATTAGTGAGAAATAGCACTCACTATACAGAACAACCAGTTCAAAATCCAACTAACCTAAACATCAGCAGGATATTGTAAAATTGACTCAAGTGGAAAAATTATGCGTATCCAGTAGAAATTAAGTGTTATATCAGCCGAAAAGTGGAAAACACGAATCTCAGATAAGTGTTATTTGTCGTGTTTTAAGTTGGTATTCATCATGGACTGACATCAAATACAAGAACATTAGAAACCTAGGAGCACTGCTCATTGGTGACTAGCTTCGAGAGGTGATTCCTGAAGTTCCTTAAATAGCTTGTCGTGTTTGCAGATTAGGTATTCGAGAATAGGCTAGAATGTACGGAACCAATCATATTCAAGGTCACTGTTGGCACTGAGTCAGAAGAATCTAATCCTCAAGGTAATCACAACCAAACAAAAGTTGTAACAGTCTGGATTCGTTAACTGATCACTGTAGTGTAACCTATTTCTATGTTATCTAGTCCTGACTGAATACTGACTAAATCCAACCGATCATTACGTAAATTGGTTACCAAACTAGGAGGCTCACCATCATGATACTCTTCGTTGAATGGTAGTTGGTTAGAGGCAATCGGCAGGAGCTTCTGCCTAACCTAGGTTTTATGCTTGTTGGGACTTGTCAAGTAGGCGTATCAGCAACGTCAAGGGAAATAGCGCACGCTATGCGATTTCAGTTGTTTGAGAATTTCTTGGAGACTGGTGCAAGGAATGATAACTTATGCACCAGTCAAACTACCCAATTAGCAGAGACTTTAACTACACCAACATTATCTTCATTTGCTTCAAAACTAAATCACTGATACATCATCAAAACAGCGTAATTCTGTGTAGGCAAAACACAGTGACGAATCATAAACTGGACAAAACACACGTCCTACTCACTACTAAAGATAATTTCAGTTTTTTCTAAAACCGATAGGAAGCAGCCTAAATAGAAATCAACATTTTAAGTCATCTACCGGTAAGATGGAAGTTTCGCATTTCGATTTTTGTTTCATGTCACTGTGAGGTCAAGAAAAACCTTATTGGACAACTTTGTCCTACAATCAACTAATTAGAATAGGTTATTTAACTTTTGGCCCAATGGTTTTGTATATCTATGAAAAATGATGTTTGTCGAATAGAGTGTCTACCTTGTAGTCCCAGGCCACTCTTTGCCTTCTGATTTTTGCCGATCTGTCATCAGTTTGTCACTTCGAAAACGAATCGATACTCTGAGAAAAAAACAGTTTTATTGGTTCCCAGTTCTGTGAATTGAAGGGCTGATTTGTGTGTGATTCACTGTCATACAAGACGATATGATCAATAAGAGCTCCATTAATGTGTGAGCTTTACAGAAATACTTTAATCATCAATAAAGTCATACATGAACACCATGAGACATGTCACTCCTGAATTCGAACACATGTGCGCTGCTGAGGAGCTCAAAACTAGAGTGAAATAGCTGTCTAGTCCTCATAGGTTCTCACTGGTTCTTCAGATGATGTCAGTCAGTGGTGTAAACTACTTTCAAGCAAAGAAATCCCTACAAACCATCCACTGAAGTCATAACTTTTTTATGGCAAAAAGAATTCAATAATCTCTTCACGTGAGTGACTCACCATATCTTTCGCCAGTATATTACATTTCTGTTTAATAAGGATCTCCATCATCAGGTCATTACCTTTTGAAGCAGATATCAAAAATGGTGTTACTCCATTCTAAAAAGAATCAGATAGAAACTAATTTATGATAATATTGAGCTTTAGAATAATATTGATGACTGACCATACCATACGATGATCATGAATAGAAGAAAACTTGAATACTGATAGCAACCTCTAGGTTACCTGAACCTCCCTCTTCATTTCAGTCCATCGAGTTGTCATGTGAACAAGCAGCATACAACTGCTTACATATTAACATAGTTACCTCTCAATCAGGTTCATTGTATCCTGATCGAAGATGAACTGAATCACCATTAGCTGATCAAATGATACCGAGACCGACAGTGATAGGAATGAAAACTTCACTCTAAGTAATTCTAGCTTCGAAACCACTTTTAAGATTACACCTTCAGCCAGAACTATACATAATTTCCGTCATTTCAAAATGATGCATTGTTCAACTCCACTAAGTGACTTCAAAAGCCACTCCAGCAACAACTGAAACAACCAATCAGATTTCTTATTTCAACTAGGAGGGTCCGTTTTTCCGAAGATTTCAGAATTTTAACTAGATGACATAACAGTCGTTAGAGTGGGCTTTAATGGTAGTCAGCAGACATTTGGTAATTTCTGTAGTTGTTGTGCGGCCTTCAGAACTATTTGACAACACCACACTGTGTCAGATATACTAATGACCTGAAAGGCCATCCGAACAACCGCTTATATAACCAGCTGTGTTTTTTTTATCAAAAACTACCGCCGTACCCGAAATGTAGAAACATGATTGGATATCTGAGCAGTTACCAGAGTAGCCTTTAGGTCACTTCTCTATTCTATGGAAATCTGAAATGAAAAAAAACATATTTGAATACTTAAGTCCATGATTTCTTTATTAATTATTAGTCCCTTGGGTTCCTAATGGAACATACGGCTTCAATAGCACGTCTCCAGTGAAATCTGTTCTCTGAAATCTTTTGAACCTGGTTCCACGTCAGCCCACAAGCTCCCATTTCCTCCTCGCACCATCTCCTCCACGTCACCCTCACCTCGGACGTCCAACTCATCGCTCCCCATGGGGATTCCACTCAAGTGACTGACCTGACACATGATGTCCCCAGTCGGCCTTCTCAGTGCATGCCCAATCCATCTCCACTTCCTTCCACTGCATACTTCTTGGGTGATAGGTTCTTGGTTGGTTCGTTGCCAGCCAGCCACAGTTCCTTGTTGCTTATTCTTTCTGGCAATCCATCTGATCTTGAGTAACGAGCCAGCGTAAGCAGTTGTTGGTGAATGTCTGTAGTTTATTGGAAATCCCTTTCGTAACGCTCCAAGTCTCTGAACCATCACACAGAAGCACTGACTTGACTAGGTTGGTGTTGAAAATCTGGATCTTGTTCCGCATGTTGAGTGTAGAAGATCTCCACACTGGTTTCAGGCTACTGAACGTCTGTCTTGCTTTGCCGATTCCGGCTGGCTTCGACATCCTCGTCTGTGCCTGTGCCGCCTGTAGTTGAAACAGTGCTTCCCTGGTAGGTGAAGGAGGTTACTTCCTTTAAGTTTCTCGCATTGATGGTGATTGGAGTTTGTTGTTGTTGTTGGAGTTGTTGGTGCGGTATCTTCATCACTTCTGTCTTCTCTATATTCAATTGAAGTCCCGTCTTCGCTGCCCTCCCTGCCTCTTCTGTCAACTTGTTAGTTTTCACCTGTAGATCTTCAAGTTTGTGTGACAAGGCATCAGACACAAGTCATCGTTGGCGAAATCCAGATCTTCTAGGTTCTTTTCCGCAGTCCAGCCAGCGTATCCCCCTCTTATCGCTCCCCACTGTTTGTTGCATGATCCAGTCGACCACAATCAGGAATATCATGGGGGATAGTAGGCAACCTTGTTTCACTCCTGTCTTCACTCCACCTCAAAAGCATCACTGAGCTTCCCATTGTGAATTACCTGGCATGTGGCGTCTTCATATAGTTGTTGAATGAGGCTGATAAAGGTTTGCGGCATTCCGTAATATTGAAGCACTCTCCAAATTACCTTTCGGTCGACACTGTCAAAGGCCTTCTCAAAGTGGATGAAGTTGAGGTTGAGTCGAGTTGACTGCCATTCTATACTCTGTTCTATGATGATGCGTAGTGTTGCGTTGCAATTTGGTCGGCACATGATTTGTACTTCCTGAATTCAGCCTACCTGTTCCGGTCGTAGTTTTGAATCCAGTGCATCCTTTAGCCTCTTCAGGATGATGCCGCTTAATATTTTGCTTGGGGTGGACAGGAGAGTGATTCCGCACCAGTTCTTGGAAACACTGAGGTCTCCCTTCTTCGGCAGTTTGACGAGGTAACCCTTCTTCCAATCTCCAGGTACCTTCTCTTCCTTCCACACCTTCTGCAACAGTGGTGTGAGCATGTCTGCTGTTGTCTCTGCGTCTGTTCTCAGTGCTTCTGGAGGGACCTCTTCTGGTCCTGCTGCTTTCCCGCATTTCAGTAGCTTTATGGCATTCAGGATTTTCATTTTTGTTGGAGGATTTATGTTCACCTGTAGTTCAGCGGCTGCAGGTGGTATTTCTGGATGAAGTGCAGGTGGTGGTCGATTCAAGAGCTTCTTGAAGTGGTCAGCCCATCGTTTCCTCTGTTTCTCTTCTTTCGTAGTTAAATTTCCTTCTTCATCTTGTATTGGTTTCATCTGTGTTGGTCTCTTCCCTGATAGCAACCTGGTTATTTGATACAATGTTGTCAGGTCTCTCTTACCTGCAGCCTGTTCTGCTTTACTTGCCAATGTTTTGTAGAGGTGTCTTTTGTCTTTGCGTGCACTCTTCACTTCTTTGCCCAGTGTAGTGTTTTATACATTGTGCTCAGTTCCTCTTGTCGTTGAGCATCCTTGCACTGGTTTATCTTCTGCTTCAGCATCCTCCTCTCCTCTATCAGCTTCCAGGTATCCGTCGAGATCCATTCCTTGTCTTCTTTCTTCTTCCTTCCTAATACTGTTGTGCAGGTTTCTTTCCACATCTCTTTCAAGTCCATGATAGGGTGGTATTTTCAAGGGTGATTCAAAGACCAGCCCTAGCAACAAACAAAAAATAATCAATCGCGTTTGCTTATTTCAGCTTGAATGGTTATTTGAAGCTAAGCTATAAAGTGATTATTATTTTAATTATTATAAATATTATACTGACGAAATAAAGCATGGGTTTGGCTACAGCTTAGAAATAAATGACTTCAAACCTTGCTCGCCTTCTGTGAAAAAAGCATTATAACAATCATGATGGGTGAATTAAAGCCAATCTGTAAAGGTCATCTTGGCAAATGACGAAATAGACAATAAAGTTCCTCCATTTTAAGAAAGCATTAACTTTCAAAAGAAATACATTGACCTAATTGGTGATTTCAGTATCTGTTCAAGTGACCGCCTAAGTCATTCATTTTTAGGCATCTATAAAAGGAGAACAAAGCATTGAACCAGTTCAAAGTGGTAGACGTTCACACAAGGAGGAATTTGATTGGTCAGTTATTCGACTGTAGTTATTGATCATAATTTTACAGAAGTAATATCTCTTATCCTTCAGATATCTCTAATAAGGTTCATCATTTGCTTTATGAACTTGAATATTTAACACTGAATGTGACCGGTTACAACTTGATCAATAAAGCGGTTAGTTTTTCACCCCTTTTTGTTTTCTACTCAACTAGGCTTTAATACACAATTATATATAAGTTTAACATCAAGAAACGAAGCATTTAAAAAACAATGGAAAAGAAATTACTATTTTTCTTTTTCATCTCAACTCACATTATCTGCAACATCATAGTTTAAAATTTGGAATTTTCTGTATAAATACCTCAGTATTGAAACTGCATTGGACTCAGCAATAAAGTGAATGATTGTGAAACCTTGCTATTAATAAGGACAGAAAGCAAAAAAACAAAAAACACGAGAGTTGAGTATGATGATGATGATGATGATGATAGACGAAGGGATAGAGCACAAAATAATCAAAATTCCGATGAAAATATACTTTCTGCTATATTTTGATTGTTTCGTTAAGTACTTTAAACGAATTTTATTAGAAGCAAAGGTTTCTAGTGATTCACTGATTTTTAGGTATTATTCACCACAGATTATCATCAACTACAGAATAATTCTAAACCTGGAAGCATTTGACAGCTATTTCCTAACAGTCCAGGATTCATAAGTAGTGAGCGTGAGCATACAAGCATATCCCTGTATGAAATTGACGTCCATGAAGCAGACTAGTGGATTTCAAGCAATCAGCCAATTAGTAAGACGTTCACTGTGATATCTAACGGTTGTAGGTTCAATTCGTTACATGACTGTATGTAACTACTGCTGAAGAGTTCAAGACTTGGGTAATACAACTAACAAGAAGTCCTACCTTCTGGCTGGTTCTTCACATGATGTCAATCCTTCATAAAAAGTATCTCAGTTTTAATACTACAGATTCAAACATCCTGACGGTTCTATACATCTTAGTAACTATGAAGTAATAGTGACGTCACTAGTGCTACTCAAAGAAAATCTTTCTCAAACTAACTTTCATGAATCATTAACTCTCCAGTACGGTAAGACACAAACAGTGAAACGAGCCTCAAGCAAAAGTATCGCCCCTGTTTCCACTTAGGACTAGACGTGAAAATGACCTCTAAGTGTATCTAATCCACTCCTACAGGAGGTTAATCATCACCTGAATAGCTTAGTGGCGGTCTTCCACTTCAATAATTGGTGATGTGGGTTCGAACCCCAGGATGACTGTTACTTCCCTTGGGGTCTCTTGGACCTTTTACTGATGAGTGCCAGCAAGTACAAAACCTAGGTAGAGCAGAGCTTCCCGTCAAATGTCTCTAACCGACTGACATCCATGAAAGTGCACAATGATGGTGAATGTCCCAGTTTGGTAACTATATTACAAAATGATCAATACAGTTTGGTCAACACTCACGAAAAGACAAAATAAAATTGGTTACTTCCTCATAGTCAATCTGTGTTTATGTGAATATAACTCTGACAGTAGTGATAAAGATGACCGACTCAAGAAAATGCAAATTTACAAAGAGAGAGAAACTACTTAAAATAGAAATGGTTCCTGAGTTATTTTCGTTAGGATACCGATGAGTCTTCAACTCCTATCTGGAGCATATAAATATCGTATACTTCATCGAAATCGGTCATTAAGTGTTCCTTTTTGTGAGCAAAAAATATTTGAATTGCAATTCTGTATACAGTAGTGTTTGTATTTTCAAGATTCTAGTTTGTTTTTTAAGTCACACAGTTTACCACCCAGTAAGATATATACTACTACTTAGTAATGTGTAAAGTACGGATGTTCAAGGAAGCACAGCACCTGTTATTGATGATCATTTAAAGCTACTTAGCGTATTTACGATCTCACAATCATCACATCAATCTAAAATTTTAAATTAAATACAATAATTCAAGAGACTTTAAATGGAACTGCCTAACTCAAGGTCATGGAAGCGTTGGCAAAGAGGTTGTTAATTCACCAGTCTCCGTCACAGCTTAAACAGATAAACTATACCATTATTGGTGATTCTGTTAACAGTATGCTTTTCTTTAAACATTTTTTCCATTGAGTAAAAATACAAGTGTAAACAATGTCATCAGTTCGGTTACTATGAAGGTTACTGTCATCCGAAGGAAATGATAATGAAAGAGATCTGTAGCTCATAATGAGAATGATATAAGTTCGGTGTTCTCTGTGCTGTGGTATTCTGTCATGGATGTCTCACCATCAAACTTGATGACACATTCTCAGCAATAACTTTGTAAAGAACTCATGCATATTCGAATGTTACATGAGTGTTTCGGCGGTGTTTTTGTTGACCTTGTATGTTGTCCATTTGTAAATTGTGGAGCAGGTTTTTATCACACTTTGACCCTTTTAACCTTAAATTTCATTCCATCATGATGATGGTGGATTGCTGTTGCACTGAAATTAAGTTAGTTGTTACTTTTAGACTGCACTTCATTGTTGATTCGCTTGGTTAATTCGCCCTTATGTTGATGGGTGGCTGTTTTCTTCTTAAGTCGATTGAAAGTATATCCAGATGTTTTTTGATCAACTTTTCGTTGGAATGGCATGCTTCTGAAAATTCTCCTGGAGCTTTCAAACTAGCTCATTTAAAGATTTCCATATTACGTCAGGTGAGTTTCTCACTGTGATCATCTGTGTACATTGTAAGCAAGGCCGCTGCTTCAGGTACCTTTACTACTAATTGGTGTTCACGATTCCTTTGAGCAACCAGATGACTAGAAGCACCAAACAAGTGTTACGGCTATGGTTCTCAACAAAGATTCGCTACTAGAGTGAGTGAGTGAGTGAAAGTTAAGGTCTAAGAGGCCAAGGTGAATTTACAACTGGACAACACTCAAGGTCAGCAAAACACCGCCAACGCATTCGTATAATATACCAGTATACTTGGGTTCCTTAAGAAGTTATCGCTGAGAATGTGTCACCAAGGTGGTGTAGAAACGTCCACGACAAAACAGCAAAGCCTTAAAGAGCACCGAACCATTATCAAAGCCGAGTATATTCTACTTGCCCAAGTTTAGTATTTTAGGAAGTTTCCCAACCTCCATTAACCAAAATCTGTTAACCTTTATATGGATGGATATATTCAGTACGCTGAAGGATCTAGTGAATTCTGTATGTTTTTATTACATATCAGAATTCCATTATATCGTGAAACCTGAAGGTCCTGAGTTCGACCCCTAGCCGGGTCGTGGGTGCGTACCGCTGAGGAGTCCCATACTAGGACGAAACAGCTGTCCAGTGCTCCCAGATTTTTAATGGTTCCCCAGCTGATGTCAGTCCATGATGAATACTACTTCTAAATGTAAAAAACCCCATTCATCTCAAAATGCATATCGATTTTCGTTTGTTTTTACTGGGACAGCCATATTGAAAGCATGCATCCATTCCACTCGACTAACATTTGGACTAACTGAGATAGCCGTGGTTTAGCAGACTAATATTGTTACTGAGTGATGATTGGGGGTGAAATGAAAATTTGGACCATAGTGGGATTGGAACTACCGACCACAAGATATCTGATCTGGTGGTCTGCCAACTGAACTACGAGTAAGAGCACACGGCTGGTAACCCAGGTGTCGCTGGTTCGAATACAGCCACGGTTTATATTTTCATTTCATCTTCAATTACCAATTAATATCAAATTTACCCAGGTTTCCCATCAAAACACATTTCTCTATACTGAAAGAAGAATATTGACTTCCGGATACAATAAGTGACAGCCAGTGTTTTTTTAAACCAATCTAAAGTTTCTTATAGGTTTAATCAGCAAGTGTTTTCTGAAGGATGAATATAACTGACTTTTGTGTAAAAACGTTTTCATCAGTTGAAATAATGTTTTGGAAATCAATCTATTTCTGTGTAGTCACCTCCACTGGTAAATTTCATTGTTCAGCTTAACAAAAGGAATGTCAACCGATATGATGTCTACCTTCACAAAGATGGTGAAATCAATTCCAGTGACTTGAAGATATTGCCATCTACAAGAATTTTACTATTGTAATCACTTTTTACTCTTCTTTGTGTCACGCAACAAACGTTTGATCAATTTACATGGAGTTAATGACAAATCGTTTAGATGAAATATTCATTTAAAGTTTGAAGTAAACACTACTTAACTAATCCATTTTAACAAAGTGGTATCCCCTTAAGGTGGACACTTGAGCAGGTAACCTTCTGATTTCAAAAATGATGATAACTCACTCTCTCGATAAATAGAAAAGGCAGTAAACTAACAAAAGATGTATAGCAACGTCAAAATATATACACAATGCAATGGTTCACATGTATTTACAATGACTTTTCTAGAAGGGTATATCCATATAAGGTTGTTTTTTTGTATATGTCACATAGTGATACAACACTGTTTATTAGATGACGTTCTGAAGATAAACTAGTCCTGGTTATTACATCAGTGTAATCACACAACTTTCGACATTTAATTTTCATAGTCTCATCACCCACCTCATGTTTTTTGTTTCCAGTGATAGTTAAAATTTTCATACAGACACACACACACTGTGTGCTAGATTATTGATTCTATTAGGATGTTTCATTCTATATTTGGCTGCATTTCTGTTTTCTGATAATGTTACTGATCCCAGTAGGTTATTTTGACCTATGCACTTGATGTCAACGGAACAAGATCCAGATTTTCAACACCAACCTAGTCAAGTCAGTGCTTCTGTGTGATGGTTCAGAGACTTGGAGCGTTACGAAAGGGATTTCCAATAAACTACAGACATTCACCAACAACTGCTTACGCTGGCTCGTTACTCAAGATCAGATGGATTGCCAGAAAGAATAAGCAACAAGGAACTGTGGCTGGCTGGCAACGAACCAACCAAGAACCTATCACCCAAGAAGTATGCAGTGGAAGGAAGTGGAGATGGATTGGGCATACACTGAGAAGGCCGACTGGGGACATCATGCGTCAGGCCAGTCACTTGAGTGGAATCCCCATGGGGAGCGATGAGTTGGACGTCCGAGGTGAGGGTGACGTGGAGGAGATGGTGCGAGGAGGAAATGGGAGCTTGTGGGCTGACGTGGAACCAGGTTCAAAAGATTTCAGAGAACAGATTTCACTGGAGACGTGCTATTGAAGCCGTATGTTCCATTAGGAACCCAAGGGACTAATAACAATAATAATACTACTTGACGTCAAAGTTATTGGATGGAATCTGATAGGTTAGATATTTTTGCTTAATCCGAGTAAGGTGATCTCTGAATAAGTTTGTCAACTTAATATTCCGGTGCATCCAATTAAGTAAAGTAATCCAACCTACCAGATTCCATCAAGTAGAATGGTCAAACTAGCCGCCTGAAGTCAGTTAGATTAACAGAAAACAGGAATGTAGCCAAATATAGAATGATAGATCCAAATAGGATCGATAATCCAAACGAAAACTCGCCCATTATACTGCATTCATTAACACACAACCACACAACGAAGTTGGATGAAATCACTTGTACCCGCTTAATTAGGTGGAGAGAGATGGTGATTGATTATTGAATCTCTATTCATCTAATCAGCCAACACTGAACACATAATCGGAATGACAGAACACCTGTGCCAGAGAAATGGAAAATTCTATCACTAATATTAACAAGGAATATCAGGTGATAGGACTACATAAATCAGATGTCGAAAGTGATTTGACCCGATTGATATGATTATGACACTCGAGTTGTCATCAAGTAAGTATGCTCATTTGAAATTACAATTTACCACAGTGACAAAGTTTTACACTTTTATTAAGTATACATCGTATTAATTTTGCCTACTCAATCAATTTGATATTTATTTGTTGTTTCACGTACTTTATCCCGAAATTCTACGAAGCAACATGATTGGTGATGAAATGCTTCAGGAATTTAGAAAGTCTTATGGGGATCTGGGCAATATTATTAAATACTATTACAGAAAGACGCCTATCAAATGAAAACTGTTTCAACATGAATCTGGTTTCTGTTTTAAAAGTTTAGTTTCTATCTTTTCACCATACTGTTTACCACACGTTTGATTGTCACATCTCAGTCATTCTCATTATCTCAAAGAAATAGGTTATAATTATTATTTGCCACTCGACCACCGGTCACGGATGTTTCATTTGCCTCAAATATCATTAGTTATTCATATCAAGATTAATCTAATTTACGAGTGAATAACTTAAATAAATCGACTGTTAGATCACAGCCTATGAAGCTAACTGCCTAGTCTACTTATCAACTGAATAATTTGATGTTAAAGTCTTCAACTTCAATAGAATGAATGAAGTTTGAATTCCCAACAGATCATGAGTTTTCTCATAACTTTGCGATGTACTTTATCAAAAGATGCAAGCCTAAAACTGCCCAACTGACTTTTAATACAGAACCTAATGCATTGCAGTATTCATCGTTTAGCTAAATGGTGGTCATCAGATAGACGTGATCGAATGATATTGATATGAAAGCCATGAACTTGACAAGTTCATCAGTTCCTATTGGATGACTAATTCATATACACACAACATTCTCAGTTCGTTTACCTACAACAGTTGAACATCTCCACTATGCTATACATCTGATAAGAAAATGGTTAACTTGACTCCAATCTACGTGGAATAATTTGATCTATATTAAGACATTTTGTTTTTGAAGAATACAATGAATTCATTGATGTTTACCAATCCTAATGAATACATCTTAACAAGAACAAATTTAAGTAATTATAATAACCTCATAACTTTATATTCTATAGCTTACTTAACTAATCTCATAAAGCACACAAATGGATTTATTAAAATAATCGATGATAATAACCTTTAAATCTAAATGACCTACAAAAGTGACCTACAAAATTGATTGGACCATCTTTGAATGTTATTTTGTTATTATCAGAAAAAACAACTTCAAAATGAAATGAATTTCAAAAAAATATTATAAATCTTATTTTAATAGTATCATTTAGTACATTTCAAAAAAACTAATCATTCAGTAAATTTAATTCATTTATAATGAATTTTCTTTGATTTTTTCTTTATGTGAAACAAGTGGGTCTACTTACTTTTGTAACTCGATTATGTTTAGCACCTGATTCAATCAAATAAACAGCCACGTGCTTATGATTATTGTATACAGCCCAGAATAAAGGTGTAATGCCAAACTAAAACGATAGATGAAGGGAAGAAAAACAATACACCTATGCAAATTACAACTTTTATATGAAAACAGAAAAAGCCTAAAGATGATAAGTTCTAGAAATTGTGAATGATGAGCAGCAAAAGATAAAAAGTATTGGTTTCGTACTTCTTAGGTTTCATCAGTATAAAGGAGATATATTATTCTGGGAACGTATATACCAAAAGCTGTCAAACCCGAATTGTCCAAGTCTACAGTAAGAGAACAGGGAAGGATATAAGCCAGTCATGGCAACCTGTAGCAGTCGCCTCCAAGGTCAAGATAATATAACCACGGAATAGAATTCTCAGTGCTAATTGGTAGAAGGATATGCATGATCAGAGGGAGAATTCGTTGTAAACAATATTAGTTGATGTCGTCAGGTTGTTTAGGTACTAAAGCCTACTAAAAAGCATGAAGCCTACTCGGTGCTGAACTTCTTTCGGAACATTCGTAACAACTATGGTTAAGATGTTTATAACATGAAGCCTATTGTTCACTAGCGAGTCACTTTGCATAAGTGAAATTTCAGTATAGTCATGATAGTAATCTGTGAATCGACCCACAGTAAAGAATAGATGGAAATTTTTTAAAAAGCGCGATTAATTCGCTTCATCACAAAGCTGATAAGGTTTGTAAAGGTTAGAAGAGTTTCCTGTACTTGACTTCTACGTGACTATGTTCTTCTCAGGGTGGACTGAGTGAATTTTATTGAACCTATCGATTTCTACTCATTCTTCGGGTGACAAACATTTCATACATATATTTCCATTTATAAGCTTGAATAAAGACAGAAGAATACGATTGAAGCAGAATAAAGTCGTATCATTTTACCTTACAGGTTCCTCATCAGCTGCTAGCAACCCAAAAACACTACAAATATGAAAGTGGACGGCTCAAAATGACATATTCTTCAGATAAGTTAATCAAAAGTTAGTCGGTTCCCTTTCTGTGTTATCTCTTATTATGCAGATAGATGTACATACTTCTACGCTAAGAGTTACAAAGAAAAACAGATAGAGTGGCATATCTCAAACCTTCTGAACATGTAGCAAAACGTCTGTATCTCAAAGTGTACAAATGCCTTCAATAATGCATTCACTCAGCATTTTATCAACATAAAACATGAAGTAGATACTTTGGAATGTCTTAAGCTAATCCAAACACCACGTAATTCAAACATTCTCATGTTCGCTTTGGCGGTAGCCATCAAACGAACGACACTGGAAATATGCACTTCAAAAAACGATGCTTTTTACCTCAGCAATCTAATATTCTTCTATTCTGGCAATATCTCTTGACTGGACCTTCTTTCTATTTGATGATGGTTCTCATAAGTGAGATCAACTCACTTATGACTGAGTAGTCTCTTATTACAATGCATATTGCTTTCTCAAATTCTCTGTGGAATCACCTCTATAAAGCAAAATCTTGTTCACTTAATTTAGATGTTTGTGTTCTTTGTTGAACCATATCTGTCACTGTTAACTAACTTCATTCACCTGCAAAGAAAACATCCTGAAATTATTTTGTCATTTACCCCTGTGGAGCTGAATATGTCTGCTGTACTATGCACACGCTTGTAAAATGACCTCCTAAACTTTACCCAGCCTAGTTGCTCAAGAGTGAGCACCAAACCATCTTCAGCTGCATCACTGAACATCTTGTAAACTCGTTGATATAATGCTTGTAATTCCACCTTGATATACGGGGTCGAATTCCTCAACCTGTGTTGGAAGATGGGCTCTTATGTGGATGCTTTGATACTGCCAGATATTCGTGATATTATATTGATCTTGATCTCTTCTTATTTGGGACTCATCAACCGTATGCACCTGCACTCCAGTGAGGCTTGAATCCAGTACCCTTCGCTACAAATACCACAGCGTAGACTCTGGATATTTGGCTACTCTGGAAACCTCGTTCAAAGTTCTCTAAAATGTTTGACCAAACCGCTCAACAGGGATGAGGATTAGAAAGCACGTGCACAGCCAAGGCTTTGGAAATTCACAACTTAAACATCAGTTGTATATTCAAACCCTCTCTTGAGTGAATATTCTACACCTCCATTAATTTCTAGTTTTTACACTCAATTTATTTATTCTTTTATTTGACAGGTTTCATTGTGACAGCCTCAGCTATGATGAGTAGATGTTGGTGAGCTACACGTGGTATAGTTTATGCACACCATATATGACATTAAAGCTTTACTGGTACATCTATGTGATGCCTCACATCTTCTAGGAGGGTTGGAATGGAACTTTTCACCAATTCCACTCCCCCCATTTTTAAACCAAGCTGGCAAATGCTCTCATATCCGTAGACACACTTCACTGCCTAATAAGACTGATCAAACCGGGACTTTGCATTGGAAAAGATCATATCCAAACGTTATTCCTCCGTCGGTCTTCAACAAACCAAAGGCTACTTTTATATTTGTTTATTTTTAACAGATCCTTAATCTTCCTCTTAGACTTATCTTATACAAAACTATTTAGATCATTTCTCCTGTTGCGTAATAACACTGCACTTCCTCCATACACCTACCTGTCGATTATGTCTGATCTTTGATCGGAGACTTGGTTGCAGCATTCTGTCATTTTATCTCCATATCTATGAATATGCAGCTGTGGAAATGATTCGTGAACAAAGATAATTATCTTCGTTGTAACCGCCTATTTGCTTTTCAATGACTAAATGGTGACTTTTTGATAGTTACTTGTTTCAGGTTGTTAGCAGCTGATGAGAGACCAGCGAGATAAAATATCACCGTGTTATTCTGTTTCAGTCGCGTTGTTCTTCCTCTAATCAAGTTCAAAAACACGGATATATATAGAAGAAAGAAGCTGTATCCAGGGAGCTATTGTAACAATGATCAGGTATTTTCATTCTCTCAGTCTCACATCATATTCCAATGAACGCCTTGTGCCTGATGTGATTTTGAAACCTACTTAGTCGCCTGTTTTATTCTCTAACCCAGTATATAAACAGCCAGTTAGTGGATTTCATCTCACTCTCGGTTAACGCATTCTTCCGACTTCAGTTATCATTCGTGTGTACATATACACAGATGAATATTAAACTTGGTTGAACTGAAAATGGTAGTAGGTAGACTTTAGTTGAGTAACACTCCAGAACAGCAGAAGCTGATAAATAAGCCAACTGGATCCTTTCGAATGGTTGAAGTTCAGATAAGTAAAATGGTACCATCTTATTCCACTTCAGTTGTTGACAAAAGTTTTGTCTAGCACTGACTGCTTCGCTGATGACAGTACGAATCTCATGATGTTTGGCGCAGTGACAGAACCACTTCACCTCATATTACAACTTACTGTACATTTAGCATTTCATATAGACTAATAATTCACTTCAGAACTGCCAAACTTCCCTGCATAGTGTTTTCACAGTCCCCACTGAGATTTCAACATAACCCCAAGTGGCAGTCACTTTCAAAATGGCAATTATTCACCAATCGAATAGTTTTTGCCCAACCAGACTTACATCAGTTGACAGGTGGATGAATATTCTAAAAAATTTAAATCCAATCAGAACTCACCTTATCAATTGGATCAACTATTGCTCTCCCTAGGATCAATACTTTGACCATTGCTAAATTCCCAGAAGATGAAGCAAGATGTAGTGGAGTACGATCAAAATTATCACGTACATTGACATCACATTTGCGATCTTGAATGATTTTATTGACTAAATCTAATCGATTTTGTTTTATTGAAGCGAATAGAATTTGTTCAATTTTCTTCACTAAAAATAACAAAAAAAGGATAAAATCGATTTAGGAATGAATAGTTGATGGATGTTTATTATCTTTCATGCTAACCAGTCGACCACGCTTAGAGATCATTATGATCTGGTGGAATACTACAGGTCGTTGTGGTTCGTTTCCAACTACTCAAGTTGTTCATTAGTAATATCTTTCACTAGTTCATGAAATCTTGGCTGATGGGGGACCCCGTTGACACCTCATTTTAGGCAGCTGGAAAATAAACTACCCAACTGTAAGAAATGTCAACGTGGACTGTGAAATCTGTAAACCATTTACAAATCGATCATCTCGTTTTAAACATACCGGTTCATGTAGGTTAGCTAGCCAGATTTGGTAGACCAGACACTTCGTATGGTCTGGTTAGCGAAATCTCCAGGTTATCATGATTGTCTTCTATCTAACAACTGCTTATACTATTCAGTAGTGTACTCCAATGTTATGTCAACTAAATTTCCTGTGAAGATAAGTTCATCACATCTAACAATGTTAAATTTCTCTCCTAACTAAAATTTTCAATGAACAATTTTGGTTAAACAGACCATTTTATATGTCAGTCAGTAGTCCAACACTGGTTAGATAAGGAAAAAGTGGACGGCATTGTAAAAACTTTGCAATCCAGGCAAACGTATATCATGACTTCAACTATTTTTGTGATATTATAATCATAGGAAAATTCCGGTGAGATTGATTCCAGATAAGTGTTAAAATCATTCTGGATTTTCAAGTTATTGCTTGTATTATCCTGTCGCTAAGTGAACCTGATTGAACGGTCTTTATTGGCATTTAAGCTGCTTGGTGGATGCCTGGATTATGCCTGCAGTTTCTCAGTCCAGTACCAATGATGGGCAGTGGTTAGCGCTTTTTATCCCGGCAACAACGTAAAAAACCATACCCGTTGCAAAAGAACTGGCTATCTTGATTTTGTCACCTATTGGTCCCAGGTTCGAGTCTCAGTGGGAATAAGATCTCTCACTGACAGGCAAATACATCCAAGTGAATAGCCTCAAACTGGACAGATCGCGCACTCTGGATTCCGACTGTAGCCGCTATCCATCGTTACAATCATTCTGTATTTTACTTGAATTAATTATCTAACTGAGCGAGAACTGTAAGACACGTGTCACAGGAGGCCTAGATACATCCAAAAATGAAGTAGTGAAATCTTCACCACCAATAGGCGTGTTGTACTTAGGAAATTGATGGCACTGGATTTTAGTAGCCAACTGTATGGCGTCTTTGAAGGAGGTTCCAATGGCAGACGACCAAAAGGAGGAACTTTTCAACGGAGAAACAAGAAATTTTCGGGCAGTATCGTGACTTTCATATAAGAGTCCGTGCATATGCTGACAAAGGTCGGTATATTCGGTTCAGTATAACGGCGGAGAAGTACAAATAAATCAATAAACAGTTATAACTTTATCAAAACTGCTTGCAGTTTTTTTGGTGGAGGGTAGCACTGAGATCCTAGAGGTTCGTTTTGTCCTACCAAAGAAAGACTGGCATGTCAATGAATGGCAGTGTTCTTTTTGAGACGCGAACTCACCATTCTTCACTTCACCACTCCAGAATGTTATTCAGTAGGCTACTGAGTCATGAAATCTACTTGTTGCGTATCGGATATTGGTCATTATTTACTGATACTTCTAATGGTCACTGTCATTCCGTATCGAATCAACCGATCTCTGTCACCAGACGGGCTCTTGAGTGAAGGCTTCGATACGATACGGAGGTTCGTCACGCCGTAATATCAACAGAGGTCAATCAGGTTGACACAGTATACGGAAGAGGCACGGGTATATACAAGTATCGATGAAAAATATTCCTGAGATTTTTGAAACTCTCCTGGTACTGCAAAAAAGTCTAATCGGGTTTAAATCATACCGGAAAACCTTTTAACGTGTTCCAAATAGGATGAATCATCGAATGCTGAATGCGTGGATGTATGAGAATCTTTATAGGATACCATCAGAGTATCAATTACCTCCAGTCTGGTAGAAATGACTGTCATTGTCAGAAATTCGATAAAACAAAAGGCGTCTACACAGATCTTGATATAAAACTATTGATTAAACCAAATGGGATATTAACTACAATACGAGGATGTGGGGTATTAGGTATATAAGTCCCATTTTCAATTGTTCTCATTAGCTAGTTATTTCACTCTTTAGTCATTTCTGGATAAAACTATAAGAAGATGTAATTTTTCTGAGTTGTGTAATATGTTTGGGCAGCATATTTCACGAACAGTCTGATCATACACGTATGTACTTACTATAGACATTTTATATGAAAAATTATCGAGTTTAGGGTTGGGAAAATAGAGAATGGCTGAGTAAGAAGACTATATTGAATGTTAGAATAACAATGAGGATCAATAAAGTAATAACAACAAAAACGTAACAGTGCAACAATCTTCGATTCGAAGCTGGATTTACAAACAGAAAGCTTAATGTGATAATAAATGTCTTTATGAACACTTTAAGGCGACTTCGACCTCCAACAGGTTTTATAGACCGATACATAGGCTTCAAATTTCCAGTAACCAGGATCTTAGTTACGTAATATGTTTTCTTGATGGCGGTGTTTGGGTGAGAGTAGACAGTATTTCTCAATGCTCTGTCCACTTTTTGCGGACTTTTGAATTTCACTGGGTGGTTGTTCTCCAACAACGTCCCCATCAATAGTCTTGTCTCATTTTCTACAGTCTTATCATTTGACCAGTATTCATTTCCATACCTCCATTAACTCAATAATCTTTGAAATAAATGCTTATGATATAGTATAATTGTTTTTATCTGATATCGTCGATGATTGGACCTAATTGATCGGTCTCTATTGGCATATGGGCTCCTATGCGGATGCTTCGATATCGCTTGTGTTCTGACTTTGTTAATGGTGGATTGCGGCTGGCAGTGGAATACAGGATACGCATTTCGCCCTACTTGGGACTCGTCAGCTGGATGTACCTGCTTCCGGTTGGAACAATATCACTCACTGGGAAGCAGGTACATCCAGCTGACGAGTTCCAAATACGACAGAATGAGTATTCTGGATTCCACTTCCAGCCACGATCCACCATTAACATAATGCTTATGATACAGTATGTATGTAGTCAGACTGTTCAAGAAATGTGTTGGGCAAAAAAATTACACAAATCAGACAAATCACGTATTAACCATGGAAATAGGTATTTATTTCTGATAGACATTTTCTCATAAGGTACATAGAAGTCAGACTGATGAATATGATGAACACACTTATTAAGAGTATACTAGACAACTAAAGATGAAGAAGAGTCATTTATGTGTAATTACATGATCGTATAACTTGACTTAATCTTTAAACTATGTATGAAAAGCTTAAACTTTCAGTAAATGGTGCACACTACAGTTGCGCTTCTCTTGATAGGCAACCGATTGTAAATCTTCATGTGAATACAACATTTAACGTCATATATCGTCATCTTTTGTGAATATCTCTTCCTGAAAGAGATATCTAACGTCTATATAGTCGAAAACAGGTCAGTCTTCAAGAAATACACTGAATTACCTAATCAAACGGTTACATAACATAGCAGTCATTAAGAATGCGCATTTCCTCTACTTTTCAGGATAGCTATCATCCTGGATTGGCACAAATTGTCCTAAACAGTTGTCTAGTACTCCCTTACAGACTGAAAACTTAATTCTGTCACTTGTATTACACTTAACATCGACTTAACTTTAGGGCCTACACGTTCTTCATCTAATTTTAAGGATATTATTCTTGTTACTGGTTATTCTTGAAACTTAGAGTTCAGAGGTGAAAGATCAGCAGCCTACAGAAGGATGATGAAAAATTTCAGCGTCTCCTGAACTTGAACAACTGTAGAGGTCTTCTGGTATTCAGGTGAGAAATATAAGTTCAGGACTAATATGCTCCTATATCTAATTTCCCCTACTTAAGACTACTGACAGTGTATCTGAAACTAACTTTTGTAGACGAAGTAAAAAGTGGGCAAGAAACGATCGTAGTAATGAAGATAAATATACAACTTTCCTCATTAAATTAATTTTCTCTTTTTTCTTCTTTAAATCGTTTCCTTCCCTTCCACTATTTTATTTCGAGGCTGCACATCATTTATGTCGTTCCTTGAGCCTCTATCTTTTATCGACTAACTTTCGACTTACCGTATTGTGTATCGATTTAGTTTTGCAAAAGTACAAATTAGAATATGGATAATTGATTGATTTGAATAAAATTTGAGTGAATCTCATTGGTCTTGAATGATTGAACCTAGTTCATGGACACACACACACATACACACACACACTACGCAACACAAATATGCATGCAGACAGATTGGGTCTGCTGGGCTCGGTCCAGAGCTTCCTGTGGTTCAATTCGAAGCAACTAACTTTTGAAAAGGGAATTCTTTGTCTCTGGAAAGCACTGAAAAGAAACTGCAAATCAGTCTGTGTGACCGAAGAGTCTAACAAAATTTGTTTGGATCAAGTCAAAGAAGATATTTTTGGAGGCAGCCTTAGTGTTTCAGATCCATTTCTTAGAAAGCCTAACAATCGTTGACATAAAGTTGCAAAGTAAAGCGGATTACACACTTTTTATGGCCACTCTTCTCAACCAGAATGTGAAGCCGTTATTGTTCGGAAAACGTTTCGTCTGAGGTTTCGCAAGTAATCAACTGACTCTTTTATAACGCGGTATAAACTCCAAAGCTGCATGGAGTTATCGTGATAAGCAAACCCGACTACAACAATAAGCTATCACTTACTAACTGACTGCTATCTCAGTGACTTTAAAAACTCATGATTTTGACCAGTGAGGATTTTGACACCACAGATCTTGGTTTTATTAGTTGACAAGTTTAAATTTTGTACTAACCGTTTCATTTTTATTAGACAGGAGGAGGAAATGCTTCGAAAAGTGTTCATTGAGACTGATTATCCTTCAAGATGCATTGAGAGGACCATGAGGCCCATGAATGTCAAAGAAGAAGAAGTCCCTACAGTTTCAAAGAAGATACTGTTTATGAATATTGGATTTTTAGATGACCTTGAGATGACCTTCAAGTCATAAGCACCTTTTAACCTAGTTGACTGTTTTTGATGATTTTGTATTGATCAGTTAGCCATTGATGAATATGTATTTATAGTGTGGTTACGATTATACAATTTTTGATAATGATTCATCGAAAAGAAAAATTTCTGTGCTTAAATGTCATTTGGTAAATTTCCATGATCAAGTAACACTTAAAAAAATTCTCAAAAGTTGTCACATTAAACTCACATTCAGGTGGTAAACTGATTGTTACCATACTGCAATCAGAAGTTTGTGTTTTCGATACCTAGATTTCAGAATACACAAGAGAAGAAAAAAGCAGACGGTTAACATGAAATGACTTCACAGTAACTGTTAGAACCAAGCGAAATATTTATATCATGGTATCTGTAAGCTATGCGCGTTAAGATAAACTTGAAACCATCGAATAAGGCCAGATTATGAAGTTTCATTTAGAAACCGAAACTTAAAACCGGGAGTAGTATTAAGATGACGAAAGTACACACTACTGGTTGATATAAGTAGTTGTAGGTAACTCATGTTATTTGTCAGGATGCATCACGTGAAAATAGTAGTATGATAAATCATTACAATAGGTGCCACACTGAAACTTACCAGACATCGTGATGTATTGTCTCAAGCACTGAGACTATCTAAAAGATCTGATCTATATCTGGTACCCTGGTGTGTTGGTCACACTTGCATTTGACAATGATCAACCCATCTATACTGGCTAAACTGCTTGTTTCATCATTCCGGAAAGATCTTTGGGATTGTGACAAGTCAGAAAGCAGTTACTATTATAGTGTAAGCTGCTAAGCTATAATAGGAGTCTAGGGAAGAAGCTGTATTGCTGTCTGGACGGAGTATGACAACAGCAAGGCTTTTCCTACATCTGTCCACCGGTACCATGCTGATATATCCTACTCTATAGGAAGAAGGAGAAGCGTTAGAAAAGTTTGGCGTCAGACAAAGCACTCTTCTCTCCATCCAACCTGCAGTATTCTGGTGCTGGTATTGTAGCTTTTTCTTATCTGGTGTTAGTATAGTTAAATCTCAAACGAGCAATCGTAAAATGACGCCATGTGACAGACCTTAAGCAGATGTCCAATAGGCTATGACGTTACACAAATCTGTTCCTTTTTTCTTTCAGTTATCTTGCAGACAACTTGCAGGATAAGGGCAACCGTGAAGTACCAACTATCTGCACGCTAACAGCAGTATTGAAAACCCAGTCAAACATAACCTGCCCTTCACTCCTTCATCTCCCTTTTTGCCTTAACTACCTGAGACCAACGATAAGCATGTTACAGTTTCCTCAACTTCCCACCCTGATACCAGTGCTAGAGTTTTAAGCCAGCTAAATACCATTCCTAGTCTCCTAAAACTCCGCTACCGATTTTATATTGCAGAAGATGCATATCACTAATACCAGTTATCAGAATATATATATCAGGAAAAAGATGTAATTATCACCAGATGGAATCCCAGCAGAAGCACTGAGAGCAGACGCAAACACAACAGCGCACCAAAAAGTGATTTGGCAGTTGCTTCAGCACTACAGAATACCACAAACCTTTATCAATCTCATTCAACAACTATATGAAGACGCCACATGCCAAGTAATTCACAATGCAAAGCTCAGTGATGCCTTCGAAGTGAAGACAAGAGTAAAACAAGGCTGTCTACTATAATCCATGGTATTCCTGATTGTAGTGGACTGGATCATGCAACAAAAAGTGAGTAGCGAGAGGAGGGCGATAAGCTGGACCGTGAAAGAGAACCCAAAAGACTTGGATTTCGCCGATGAATTGTATCTAATGTCTTGTGGCAAAAACTCGAAGATCTACAGGTGAAAACTAACAAGTTGATAGAAGAGGCAGGGCAGGGTTAGAAGACAGAGTTGATGATGACACCTAACCACCAACAACAATAATCTCCAATCACCATCAACGTGAGGAACTTAAAGGAAGTAGCCTCTTTCACCTATCTAGGCAGCATTGTTTCAACCACAGGCGGAACATGCACAGACAAGGACATCAAAGCCAAGCAGGATAGGAAAGACAGCAAGATAGAAGTTCATTATTGTAAAACTAGTGTGGAGATCTACTGCACTCAGCATAAAGAACAAGATCCAGATTTTCAACACCAATGTCAAGTCAATGCTTCCATATGGCTCAGAGACTCGGCACGTTACGAAAGGCATTCCCAGCAAACTACAGACATTCATTAACAACTGCCGCCTACGCTCATTACTAAAGCTAAGATGGCCAGAATAACAAGAATAAACAACGAGAAACTCTGGCTGGCTGTCAACGAACCAACCAAGAACCTATCACTCAACAAATATGCTCTGGAAGGAATTGGAGATGGATTGGGCATACACTGAGAAGGCCGACTGGTGACATTACGCGTCAGGCCAGGCACTCGAGTGGAACCCAGATAGGAAACGATGAGTTGGTCGTCTGAGGTTAGGGTGACATGGAGGAGATCGTGCGAGGAAGAAGTGAGAGTTTCTGGGCTGTCTTGAAGCCAGTTTCAAAAGTTTGCAGAGAACAGAGTGCACTGGAAACGTGCTACTGAAACCCGATGTTCCACTAGGAACCCAAGGGACAAATAATGATAATAATATCACAAGTCAATGTCAATTTACAAATCACTACGAAAAGTAGCATGCTGGATAGGGATCCATATGTTTTAAGAAAACCGCTTAGATGTCATTATCTATAATCTCAAGTATTAAGTAAGACATTATGATGAGTGGATCGAACAAACTAGCCAGAAAATCGACCAATCAAATACACTTTGTGTTATTTTGGTCTACAATTTCACTGGCGGATAATCAATAAATCAATATCATTATATTTAAACGCTGGATTATATATATATGTATATATATATAATTTTATTCCCAATAGATTTTGATTTAATTTTGTCTGGAGGTTTGTGGTGATTTATTAATTTCTTTTAGATATGAATTCATCACGGATTGACTGGCATCAGTTGGGGAAAATTGGAAACCTGGTTTAATTTGAACTTTTCAGCATATAATATTGCTATCAAAATTATATATACTCCATTACAGCATTTCGAATATTGCAAATATAGGAATTTAAATTATATAAATAATATTAATAAAGAGGAAAATTTTACATTAGTTGAAATATTAGAAAGACTGATTATTCACTGTTACAAAGTTAATAAATGAGCTCTGTCCTCATACTGTTTTCCTTGCATAATATATGTGCTAGGTAAGGCACCTTTGATTTCTTGTATTTAGCTGTACGAACATACAGTCTAATGTAGTTTCTTATCCTCAATGAGGAGATGCAAGGAGAGGGCTGTGAAGCAAGTGGATACTCAGTGTCAGTTAAAATTACTCTTGCTTACTAGAGTTAAAATATCTATCAATTAGTGTAATAATCAGTTGGACCAGAGGCACAACACTCACTCTGGTGACGACTTTCAGTGCCCTACGCAGTATATTGTAGTTCTTTTTTTTAAAAGATCAATGAGGATCAGCGAGTAACAAAAAAGAAGAATAGGTAGGATACCTGAGTTGATATTGTGAAAGTAGAGGTTGAATTATACCAGAGAGAGAAAGAATTTCCTACAAGTCAACAACATATGAGGCGACCAACAAAGATCAGTAGTTTAACTCAATCCAAGTTAGTTAATACTTGATTTACTTTCTGCAAGAATACCATCAATGCAACAAGCATCATTAGACTCAATCAGTTCACATAAGAGTTTTTTACGCCTTAGGCTAAAAGGGTTTAACTTAAGACCATTTGAAAGAAACCATTGATCAACTGAAGACAAAAAACCATTAAATTCAGAGTACCCTAAGTGTGAGTTAACTAGCATAAAACTGTCATTTCATCAGCATATTTAATACTTATTTGCAAAATTCAAAAGAAAAACGAAAGAAAACAGAAACGAAGAAAGTACTGCACCTAGGTGATACACCAGATTCAATAAGCAATAAAGTGAAATCCTTTTCTTCGTATAGAGTTTACTGTTTCCTTTAAGAACAGAAAGGTATGCAGCCACTTTGTGACTTATGTCTGAGTATGAGCAATGGCAAGCTTATAAATGAAGACTGATCTAGGCATACATTCAAAACCTGATGTAGTTGTGGAATATTGGTTTCTGATAGTTGATAAACGTGCATCGCTAACGGCCATAGAAACTTGGAACCATTATACATTGTTCCTGAAGATCACCTACGTAATGCAGTTCACTTTCTGAAACAGAAAAATTCATATCAGAAGTAAGCCGTTGCTGAGCTAGCAAGCTGAGCGCAAAAATACAAGCCAACATCTTGAACATTACCACAACAATCAAAAGTTAATAATCATCCTCGTTCGAAATCACTAGTTTCCACAAACCAGAGTAGCAACAAAACCTTCTGTCTATGTTTCATTCCCCAACGCCATGGTGACTTCACATCGATTCACTGAATCCAGTTAGCATACAACTCCTTATGTGACACAGATCAACATTCAGAGACTCTATGAAATCTCGATCTAATGATTCTTAGCCTTCTTCAAACCTACTTCTACCTCAGCTAACATTGCGTGTCGAAGTGAGTGATGAGTTTCAATGCACAATACATTCACAAGCCACCTCAGTTGGTGACGTTTCACCACCAAACCAAATAACTTGCTTGCCTTTCTTATTACTCTGCTCTAATTCTCAAAATTGACACAACAATTCCAACACTTATGAGAGTGGCGAAAGAGGCAAATGAGATCAGGTGACAGTAGCGGATTCATATCGTCAACCTTCAACTGACATATTTCACAGTTGTCCAATAGGATAGAACCAGGTACTGAGTAGAACATTTACACTTCGTTACGTAGTAGGATATCTCACCGGTTCTGGAAAAGGCGTCCGTTTGCAAGTGGTAAGTGGTTATTTTACATTCTAGCAAAGATTTTGTCAGCAACCAACCTCTCAAAGTGTATACAACTCTTCAAGTAAGTAAAATGGTCAACCCAGTCCACTACTACTGTCCCTATCCTTAAACTAGGAGCTGGAGAGATAAATCTCGTAATATAAACCGCTAACTTCACGCTAAATGTACCAAATTTTCAATCAAGGTGTTGAATATCTTCAATTAACTAAACTACGTCATGTGCACATCTTAAATCAGCTGGGTGCCCATCCAGAAGTAAGTTAATCTCTAAGAAAGCAAAAATACTTAAGGTTTTATCCGTTATGACATTTGTGGCAAAATAAGAGAGCAATCATGATGGTAAACCTCCTTGAAGGATACTTAAAGTAAATTTAATTCTTTCGCGAATTTATGCAGCTGTAAAGAATCTATGTGATAACATAACGTCATTTTAATTTGAACACGATGTTTCGATGTTTACGTTGTTCAAATGTGTCGTAGGAATAAAGTTTATGAAGTGTTATTTACATATTGACTTCTAAAAATAAATCACAGAACTGATCATCATTATATAATATTCTGGTCAAAATGAAATGACTTTGATTGGCTGAAAAAGTAGGTGAACTGTCCGATAGGATTATTTGACCCTCAAGGTCACGTAGGCCGCATAATAAGTTACATAAACCTCTAAAAAGCAAATGACAATTTGAAATGTCCTGCAAGAGGTATGCAGCGTTTCAACTTTCAACACGTACATCAAGGGTATTGTATAGAAGAAATTATTGCTAATACCATGGCGTCATTTATCACAGAGCATACCTCTGCATACGTTAGGGCCTCTGATGCCCCAAAACTGGCGTGTATTAAATAATTAAGCATGATGAAGTTATTCGACACAGATGGAGGCTACTAGATTACTAAAATCGAAACATTTTTTGATATTTTTTCAAACGCTTCTCTTACTAACTTTTTATTGTTGTGGTAATGTTCAAGATGTTGGCTTGTATTTTTATCATAACATTTCTAACTATCTTCATCTTGTTTTACAGACTGTAATTATGTTACTGATGAACGACTTTTGCTTTAAAATCTCTGCGGCTTATTTGATCATCTCATGTTTTCTTCTGGAATATTCTCATCAGTTGCACTTTTCATCATGTTTTTATGTACTACAGATCACTTAACACTTTTTATGATTGAAATGGAGTGACTTTCATCTCTACCGAATGTCATATATGCTATGGATCACTAGACTTCAGCTTATTGGTCACCTTATTCACCAAGAGATGTCATTGTCTTTTGCTGCACTCTTCACATGGTAGAGATATTTCATTGTTGAAAAATCGCAGCTCAGCTGATCTATGCTTTTATGTTTTAAGTAATTCTCCAGCTGATGGTAATTCATAATGAAAAGTCCTTTGAAATAATCTTCTATCCATACTACTAGTCGAGTTGTTCAGTAGTAGTATATTTGACCAATTCATGACACTTTATTTGTCACAAATCACACCTTGTGACTTTAGTTGATGAATGGTTAACAATGGAAACCCCTATTGGGATAAATGTAATAAATGTTAACGTGAACAGAGGAATTTGTAAATCAATTTCTAAATATACTGTTTATTTCTGTCCCTAAACTTGTACATCCATGCTTGGACATTGAATTGCTGAATTGAATTCACCAGTATCTTTCATGCAAATAAAATTATGCTTACTATTCATTTATTATGTCAGTCAGTGCTGGTCATGTTTTTGACTTTAGTAGTGAACAACAATTTCCTGATGCCTGAATATATGCGTTTCTGATGAAAGTCAACAGAACACTAAACGATTCAGTGTATGCAAAAATTCAGGAACATTAAGGACATATGGAAAAAGGAATAAAGTATAGAAAAGAACAAGAAAACTGTAACACGGTTGTCATTTGATTTGTTTCTGAGTCCCGTTTTCTGTCATCTCGGGTTAGTGAGTTGTGTACGCGCTTAAATCCCATCCAGGGAGTCATGAGATACCTTTATCTCACTGGGCCGTTTCATACAGTGAACACCTCTCCGCTTTTTTCAGCCAACTAGAGGGGAAGAGAACAGTCAGTGAAGCAGCAGCCATAGGAATGATATGAGTAGAAAATATTGAAGCTACGTAAGTCAGCGTATCATAATTACCGCATTCAATAGAATGATATTCCCCATCAAGCCTAAACAAACACGACATCACTTCAGAATTACTTACATGATGTTGCCGCCAGATATGAGTAATCCTTCGGAGACAACGGTGATGGAAAATGCAGAGTCATTGGATATCCTGAACATGAAGAGGTCGAGTTTTACAGATGTAATGCAGAACTGTCCTCACTTACGCTTCTTGTACCCGACTTCCTAAAGCTCAGTTAACACCAAGATAGTGCCAAACGTGACCCATATTCACAAACAACATATACAAATACTCCATTATTAATTATAAACACTTTTAAACGTTCTGTTTTTACAAATCTACAATTTTTATAGGTTGAACTCACCGTTTTTGTCTTTCTCTTCATTGTCTTACACTTGATATAATTATATAATCCACAGCATCAAGAACATTAATATCATTCAATTAATGCGGAATTCACTTTATCTATGATGTAACATTAGTGTGTAAACACCCGCAAGATTTGTTTAAATGCATCAGTGTGCAAAATATTGTTTTATTGTATTATGGAAATGATAATTAAGTTTATCGATTTCTGTGCAATCAGGTGATGGAAAGTGTACAGACATGTGTATAGATATATTTTTATGCACATAGATGGTTTAATTTCTATTGCTCAGATCACATGATTTAATGCAGTAGAATAAAAAAAAAAGGATCAGTACTTAACCAGACTTAGTGTATAACGAACGTGATGGGGCGACAGTGATTTGCGCTGTTTTTAAGACAATCTGATCAAATTGTGCAATATGACAGTTTCTTTACTATCATCCTAATTGCTTGCTCGTGGTAACCATAGATAGAATTCAAGACACTTGCTTCATCCACCATGAAGTAAGTACGATTTCAATGAAGTTTGAGGCGACAGCGAGGCATGTCTACGAGGAGCCAACACACATCAACAGAGGTGAGTCATTTCGGTCTGGCAGAGTAACAGGCAACAAAGAAATACAGTACTTTACTAAATAGATATGTGAATTTTTGCCATTGTCTTCCCAGCCAGCTATTCTTTCGTTATTCTGTGATACGAGAAGAATGTCACTTCGACTTTAACCGTTGGATGAATCGAGTATATTCATTACTACGCCTAGACAACAGATTGTCTGACTGAAAAAAGCTTTTGCTTAGATTATAGTAACAGAAGACGTGGCAGATATTGGTGTTCCATATTACGACTTCTAAGAAGGTACACAAATTTATTATCAGAGAAAATTGGGATATTTAAAACTTCCTATTGATTTTTGTCAAGTCAATGTACACAGTTTAACTTAAATTAACCGGAATAAGATGAAATTGTAATGAGTTCACTATTGAGACAAATGTTAGCAGATTTTTTTCATATGTTGTAACTAGAGAACACTGAATTTTATCAAACTATTGGTCACTTTGACTGAAAGACATTTTTATTATCTGTGATGAAGATGGTGATTTATCCAATGCTTTTCATTTGTTCAGTAACTATCATTCAGTTGTAAAGTTCACCTTAGCAAAAAGAAATCAGAACCAACTCTCTTTTTTTCCTGATTTACTTTCTCATCAGACGTAACAATGGATTCCTTATGAGATTTTATCTAGAGAAAAGCATTAATACATAGTTTTCCTTTTTAAAAATGAAAACTCATCAAAAACGGTTACTCCAAACTGATCAGTCACTTGGTTTCAAAGAAAACATCATTCATGAACGTAAAGTTTATGAGTGACCAAGTATCAGATGTACTCAAGAATAATCTATGTAAATCAATCAATCAATGTAAAGTGTTTTGCAAGAAGACTTAAAGCATAAACTATTCTTCGGTTGGATGAAAAATAAGTTACCCTATTTGGTTACCTGTGTTTGAATTTACTAGTTCACCTTCTTTTGTAGAGCAATGTAAATCAGCCGTAGGCATAGAATGCTTCCTACATGTATACAATGACTTTAAAACTGTTCTTCAAATAAGCCCAAACCTCCTTCGTTTTTGACTGCTTGAAATAGCCGAAGTCTTGGAGTTATTCATCAACTAGAACTTGATCTGTGTGCATAAAAAAAGTATGTACATGCAGTTAATGTTTTTACTATGATTATAACATTCCTCCACTCCCAGTAGTCTCTTCTATCCTGTGTCAAATTAATCTTTATAATCTACCCTATTGTAAGTAAAATTACTTTCACTTCGAATAGTTTCAAGTGTTATTCCACTTCATCTTAATATTTTCAAAGAAAAATAAATTTTATTTTAACCAGCTTGTTTAATTCCATTACATTATTGATTTACTAATTTCATCAGTTTTGCACCCATTTCTGAGTTACATACATTCTATGGACTATTCTGTATATTATATAATCTTTGTTATCATTCATTTGTCATAATAGTCATTATGACTAATATTATTATTATTGTCATATAATGTACACCTTGGAAATAGATTCACTGAAAAGAGTCTCTTCGCTAACTATCTTGTTCTTAATGTTACAATGGGAATTATGAAGTTAATCAACGGAATAAATCCATGACCAACTGACTTGGTGGATGGGGTGAGTGAGGAAATGATATCTGCCATGTATTAATCATATTCGTTTGTATACAGGTGATGAGTTAAGATGAAATAAGAGCCTAGGCTGGGACAGGATTCTTACCGGTAGTATCCGGACCACCTCCACTTATCACCTGAACCAATAATTCCGGTCTATCAAACCACAACTGCCTCAGATACTCTCACCAAAATATTTAACGGGATAGAGGTGTGGGGAATTATAACGATACATCGCATCACTGTATACCCTACTAAACACCAAAATAGTTGATGGAGAATATTTGTAGCTCAGGAGGATGATTGTGATGGTGTTGTGTCCTGTCAGCTTGATGGTTCAATCGTGAAGTGTTCACTGTCATTCTAGACATCATCATTGGTAGTACTTACTTCAGAGAGAAATGAGCTATGGGCTTTTTCCCAAAAGCGGCTTACTAGCTCTTCCTGATGACCTCGGTTATGATCAGTTATTTCTACTAAAATCGTGTCATCGTCTACAAGTGTATTTCGATTAGGTATCTTAGCAACGTGAACTTTGACCTTTATGTTATTTATTGTATTCCTCATTGGTTAGTAGATTGGGTCAGTGTCAGTATATCTGTCAATCACCAAATGATCTGAATACCACACTTCTCAAAATTCCCTGACATTTTCTTTGTTTTCTCTATACAGGAGATCCATACTTTCCCAGTCAAAGTCATGTCAGCAGTTGTCCGCATACATTGATATCAGTGAAGGAAGACATATCATTACGCTTCACTGCTAGCTGATGTTCATGTAGGCGGATAGGTAGAGAGTGACCACTCTCTCCGATAGTCTGTTTCTCACAAGTTCTTTAGTTTATTTTGTAGATAACTTGTTTGGCTAATCTTCCTTTGCTATAGTGATTCTGGAAGGCTCCACCCATCCAATCGCAATTTCGGAGACGTTCTTCATCTAAGGTAATAAAATTCGTTTTTTGCTTTCCAAGGACGAAACTGTTGTCCAGTGCTCCCAGCTTTCCAGTGTTTCTCCAACTGATGTCAGTCCATTATGAATATCAGCCTAAAATCCATACATAACCCCCCCCCCCACAAACCTTAAAATATTGGCATTGTCCCACTCTGTCAGCCAGTAAGAAACACTAGAAACAACACGAAGGTCAAAGTTTACTTTGTCAGGCCAACCAATCAAAATACATGTGGAGATAATGACAAGATTTTAGGAGAAGCAATCAATCATGGCCATCAGGACAAGGTTTTTTTTGAAGTTAGTGCTACCGATGATATTGTCTAGAATGACAGTGAAAGTTTTACGATTCAACCATTCAGCTTATAAAACGAAACATCGTCAAAAATAGCTGATATCACTCTGTTTAAATCAAATTTCTATACAACACTTGTAAAATTAAGGTTCTGACAAGAAAAACGCTTTTATGACGTGTACATTGATGATGACTGCGCCGAAAGACATCGAGTTTTGTTTAGTCGGCCTATCCGATTTATTGCTAAGAATCCGTCGATGACACTATTTGTTTAACAAAAAAGTAAACTCTGAACTGCCTTGTTGCTTTCATTTCATGCATTTCACTGTGTTGGTTAGTTGGTGGTGGTCAGCTGGAAATCCTGCTTGTCGGCATTCGTCAGCACCACATATCTGGACTGTTGAAAGAACTAATGTCTCCTGTGAGTTTTGAACTTGTGCCACCCAGTGCCACCATGGTTTACTTTTTGTAGGACTATATGAGATACATTGATTGCCCACTCTCCTGTGATAAACCAACGTACATTTCACCTCATCAGGGTTTGTCCAAGTTGCTGTTCACAAAACATTGAGTAATGCGTAATCTATTTGAATCCGTGGATAATTTTCATCACAAAGGCTTCATTCAAGTAATCTATGCGGAAAAGATTGAAACTTTTTTTCCCTTGCGTTTTTGTGATAAACGCTGTGGCTACGACGTCTTGTTTGGTCTATATATCCTAATTATTGGCACTCACCAGTCGTGAATCTCATTTGGAATCAGGATGAAACTGATGTCTAGTTAGTGATTTGAATGTTCATCACTCAGAAATGGAGTGTTTAGTTATTGTATCTATCAGATACTGATTACTCATCATGTGCAACACACTATGGTGCCCTGCACTTCCGTATTTCATGCCAGGAGTTTACCAGAATGTCTGGCATATCTCTGACGTTTCACTTCATCGAGCTACTTCAAGCCGGATTACTTCTGCATCTATCCATACTCATTGTCTAGGCAAATGACTGTATGTGCTACTATGAATTCCCAGCGAATATATATGTCTTCTCAAGGTTACACATACGCTTTACTCATGACTGTCAGCAATTAAGGAAATTGGAACACAGATTTCTATAGATTGATTCTCAGTTTTCTAGAGAGAAAATACAGTTCACCACAGTGTTACATCAATCAGCTGAATGACCAAACTACAAACCTGAACAGTGAATTTCGGTCAGTGTTGAGCATTTAGCTCCTGACAACCACATCCCTTACCGTCAAATGACCGATTTTATCGCTCTGCCCTGTCATGCATAGATGTTACCTGGTGCTTAAACATCATGATGAAACGTCTCTTATTTCTATGCTGAGTAACCTAAGCTTGATTCGCTTCAAAAAAATTAACTTGCTGAAGATTGCGGATCTGATGGCAAGAAGCCCTCCCGACCGAACTGATGTCCCACCTGAGGTTCTAACCCACGGCATAAGTGTTCCAGTCAGAAACGCCACCTCTGAGCTATTCAGACCAAGAATGACATTTTGTAGGAGTGAGTTGAGCACAATGATTGGTCACTGGGGGTAGTTAATTTTATGCAAACTATTCCTAAGTGCTGATCGATTTCTATTGAGCCACTTAGTCTGGTGGCCGCCTTAAAAATCGATCAGTAGAATTACATCAGCACTTAGGACTGGAACACATGAAGTTGGTTACCTTCCCGTAACCATGTTTGACATTCTTCGTGATCTGAATTA